TCACTGAATCCAATCTCTGCATGGCAGATTTTTGTGCTAATTATTACTCATTATGCAAGCAATGATATGCAAGTATATCTTTTTAAATGTCACTCCATGAAAGACAGTAGATATGAAAAAGGTTATTCTGGAATAGGTGCACTAAGTCGATCCTAAAAGGGTCCGATGTACAAAACGTTAAGAACTTGAAATAAGAGTTAATGACGCAGCAATCTAGTTGTGATGGTTGATACTTCAATGTCCGACAGACTCACTCAACACCACTGAGCCCAACTGGCCACTGCTACTACTACTCATTATCTGTGGGAGAGTCTATTACAAGAGAATAGGTATTATGGTATAACACTATCATATGGCACCCAGTGAGTATTGAACTCATTCCCTTCTGTTGAAGGGCAAAGGCTCAGCACATAGATATATGTATATAAAGTAGTAGCAGTATTAGGTATCCATTTATCTCACAAGGTCAAAATTCAGTCCTTTTCTGACCAGCATCTGGAGTGTCTTAACAGGCCAATCTTTGCATGCCACTCTCTTCTGCAGGTGTGACAGATGAAGCTGGAATATGAAATGAAGGTCTGAGATTGTTCTCTCTGCTTCCTGAATTGTCTTCTGCTCTCCAACAGTTTGTTTCACTTCCCCCCCACCTTTCCTGACTTTTCCTTGATGCCAGTTAAGTTAGCAGTTATAATTTTTAGCTACCACTGAATCCTGTAGACTGTGGACAGTTAAAGACCCTACTGTCATATTCAATTATAGTTAAGTAAAAATACTCACATTACCTATGTTAAATTGTTAAGAGTTATAAGTGATTCCTTTATTCAAATTGCATTACTTATTTATGCATATATTTCTGAGATGAAGTATTGTAACTATTTACATTGTTTAGACTGTTGTCCTTATCTTTGTTATATTTATGACATTTCAGTTGCTATATGCTCTGGCCTACTTCAGGTGATATACATTAGAATTTTGAACTAAACCCTTTATTTAGTCCACAAGAGCAGATTGCTCTAGTTCCATGTCCTTGACTCAGTGGATAAAACTGTAGGTTGAAGTAATACAAAAGTGACTTGATCCCTAAGAGTTGTGAGTTCAATACATTGAAAAGAAAAGCTGAAAAAAAACCCCAAAAAAATTGAAACACTAAAGAGGATTAACTGAAAACTGAGATATCCAGAAAAGGCCTGGCATGTAGAACTGGAACAATATAGACGGTTCAAAATTCCCAAGTATATCATCTGATGAAGGCTGGAAAGTACAATGGCCGTAATGTTATGAATATGACAATAGATGAGGACTACAGTCCGAACAATGTAAATAGTGTAAAAGCATCTATGCATTTCCTTTGTGTTTTGTGTTGGTTAATATAGTCAGGTATAAGCCACAATAATGCAACTGGATTAAAATCACTTTTTAAACCTTGTAGCCATTGTAATAGACACTGCTAAGTTTACAATCATCAAAACATCTGACTGTAAGAATTTGCCAAGTTGAATTAATTACAACTTAATATTAAAGTTCACTATTTGTAGGGATGGAAAACTATAAAGGACAGTTAGACTCGATCAACAGTGACATGACTCTACAATACCATAGCTGAAAGTGTTTCAGAAGTTAGCATTCTTCTACCAAGGTTAGTAAATAACAAGCGATAAGGAAGTATTTAAAAGTATTTAAGATAACCATTTGTATTGTGGGCATTGTCACAGTATAAATACTATGAGGTTTTCAAACACCAAATTTAAAATATATAGACTAGGCTCCATAGCTACGTATACAGCTAGAGTGGTGATGACATGGCATTGCTGAGCAAAGGGCATCCTAAAATGAAGTCAACAACCAAGCCAGAGGCCCACCACCACCACAATAAAATCAGTGGTCATGTGTCTGTGACCAGGGCTAGCATTAAATTTGGAGGACCTCTGACCTGGAGAGGGATGGGCTCCACTAGGTTTATTTGCCAAAGACATACTATATATGCATGAATACCTATCTGGTTTAATTTCAGGTATATGTAGGGATGTGGACAGGTACACAGCTACCCATTGATGATATGACCACACATAATGGGACTGATGATGATGATGAATATATATCATTTAGTGCTTTTTTTTATATATATATTTATAGGATAAATGAAAAATGTTTTATTAAAAAATAAAAATAAAATTCATTTTTTTTTTATACTTCTATTTTTTTTTTTCTATTGTTCTTCTTTTCATTTCTTTCTTTTTTTTTTTTTTTACTGCTCTTTCTTTTTATTTTTTTTAATGTTCTTTCTTTTTTTTGCTGTGGAAATTGTATGACAAAGTGAAAAAAAAGTGACTTGTTTTGTTCTTAAGGACTTCATCAGACTAAATTTGTTATGTTGGTGGTACTACACATCCACATGACAGAAGGATGCTGGGAATTTCACAATTTTTTAAAAATTTTTTATTTAACCAAATTCATTTAAATCTTTTTCTTTTCATCACTTTTGTAAGTAGGTATTCCACACTGTGATATTAGAAGATCTGCCAGAAATGGTGAAATCTAAGAGTCAGGTGCAAATTTACTGTAGATGACCTTGTGATTGAGTCACTCTCTGTACAATTACATCATAGTGAATTATTTTTTCCTTTGATCATGGTAGTATTTTTTTATGTCAAAATTGTGGTCAGTCTTGTTATGGTGGGCAACCAACACATTTGATGTTTTATTTTGTAAAATGTCCCTTTTGTGTTCATTTTTTCTTTTTTTACTGCTAACTTTTTTTTTTTTTTTTTTTTTTTTTTTTTTTGACTGCTATTTTTATTCTATTTCCTTTTATTTTTTTTCTCTCCATTTGTTACTGTTCTATTTTATTTTTCTGGTTTTTCATGCTTCTTCACCCTTTATCTCCTCCTCTTTTCCACTATTTGTAATGTATTTACTGTTCTTACCTTCCAGCCAAGAAACAAGTCACATGTTGAAACCATCCTTGATTAAATCGGTAAGTAGGCTGTGAGGAAAGTAAAAAAAAAAAAAAAAAATTTACTTGGGTTCATATTGCAAGTATAATTTCTTGAAAACGTTTCTCATACAATACCTTATGAAACTAATTAATAACTTTGATCTTACAGTAGCCACTCCCTCTTGTGTGTGTGTGTGTGTGTGTGTGTGTATATATATATATATATATATATATATATATATATATATATAAACACTCTAGGTCAGTAAACAGCAACCATAAGGATGTAATTGAAATAAAGTATAATAAAAAATGTATGTAACTGAAAATAAATACCATTTGTTTTGTAAGTTAAGGAGTTTGTTGAGCCAGTGTTTATTTTTTAATCATATCACCTCATGCAAGTCAGTAGAGCCACCAAGACACAAAAGGTTACTGAGTGTGAAAGAATAAGAAAAAAAGGAAAACATTATTATGGAACAAGGACAAGATAAAGATTGACATTGCATTAAATTTTTGAAGATCGAAGTTGGCTGGAAAGCATGGAGCCAGAAGAAAGTTCTACAAGTGGGAAGTGTGAGAAAAGGAACTGTTAGCATAAAATTTACAGTTACATCTCACCAACTCAACTGCAAATTGATGAGACCTTATTGCCAATCTATTACTGAGCTTAAATTACCATGAAAGTATTTATAAAAAAGGCACAGGGAAGCTACATTACAGTGATCGGAAAATGACTGAAGTCGAGATGCCAGGTCAGGACCAGTAATATTGCTGATTCTTCTTTGGATTTTATCAAGAATCTCTGGATATACATTAGGAGTACTGGACCATATGTAGCAGCAATATTCAAGGCATGGACAAATGATAAATTGTAAATACGTAAGGTAGATTCAAGAGAAAAATTGTCTAGCAGAACACAGCAAACCTACTTAGCAGTGGATCAAAACAAAATGATCTTTTCACTTTGTCAGTTGAGAATATAAACCTGGGATCAAAACAAAATGATCTTTTCACCTTTGTTCAGTTGAAGAAGGATAGGGCGGTGTCTCCCGGGGGGTAAAAAGTACGGGTTCAATGAGCTATTTTTCTGATGGAGGTTAAAAAAGTATCACCCTCGTGGGGGTGACTGAATATCGTCATATTTATTGGAGGCAGGAAGGGGTTTTTTCAGGAGATTGATAGAGAAGTTTTGTTTTGGAAGTGTTAAAATTAAAGTTGCCTCAAGTAATAAAACAAAAGTCCTATAGATACAAGGGGGAATCAGACAATGACAACTGATGTCTGCATAATCATTGGCGTTTTTGTGACTTGCAGCAAAGTTCATAATAGGTAGGTTTCAAAGATGTGGGATGTGAGTTTAAGACTTGTCCTTTATTTACAATTTCACACTATCAGTTCAGGAGTCTAGCAATCTAAAGTGTTATGACAAAAAGTAACAAGGAAAAAAACGTTTCATTTAAAAGTTAAAAATAATGTGTTGTACATTTTCAAAGCTATTTAGGTACAGTCTAATAAAAGTATTGTCTACAAGTTTTAATTTTACCTAACTTTAATTGTTGAATTGTAAATTAAATCTTCAATAAAAATTAGTAAATTTCTCAGGATCCAAACAAAATCTGTTCAGCAAGAAGTATATAATCTGAAATCATTATATTCAGTTTTATTATGCTATTAACAATTTAAAGATACAGAAAGCACTTATCTCCCTTTGGTAGAGATAAGTCACATGGTGGCCACTTAGTGACATCACTCCATATGGTGACTACAGTGGTAATCAAAATTCAGTTCATTTTACAGCAGCCAACATGTGAGGTTGCTTTCTTTTAGCCTGGGCCAAAGGGCCTAGGCTGAGGCTAAATCTATCTCCCTCAGCAGCTTACAAGCATATGGTGCCATTTCCTTTTGGGAATATATCTTTCCCAGATATAGAAGGAAACTTCAGCACACAGTCCCCAATTTGGGAAAACCCAAGACTAGCTGTTTCCCCATTTATATAATGTCCTCATTTATGAATCCAGTCTGTTTGAATCTGGAGTTCTAAATATGGCTTCTCCTGATACAGAAGTATTTCCATATTATATGTAAGTCTCTTCTTTTTATTTTTCCTTACACTCTGTTTTGCTGTGTAGATATGTGATATATTATTCTTTGTGTGGGACACATGTAAATATGTTTATAAAGTTTTGTGTATGTCTTAGTGATATAAAAATCTTTCTGAGAATAATGTATGTTTGTCATTCCTTTCCAGCCATTCTGTTCTGTTTGTGAACTATGGTGTTATTATATCTTGGATGTAATAATGCCCATAATAGGGAAATACAAATGGGAGAATAAATTGTTCTTCTATAGCCCTCTCTCATAATAATAATATAGAATTAAGTTTTTAAAGATTTCCTTTTCAATAATTGTTATATTTTGGTAAAGAATATTACATTTTTTTTTGTGGTTTTATTTAAATTATTAATTTCTTTTCATCATCATTTATTCAGTTAGCACATTTTGTGCTGTTGTGGTTACCATTCCCCTCCGTCTCTGTCTGATGCTTACAGCCTCAATCACTGTCATTCCATTCCACCTCTTAATATCATCATACAAGACATGGCTGGTTGTCCCTGCTGCTACTAGGCCCAGCAGAATGTTGTTATCAAAGTTGCCTCATTACATAATATGTCTGAGGTAACAGTTTCTTTAATGTCATCTGCTATCTCAATATGTACTTTGTTCTGATGGTATCTAGCACCATTTATTAGTGTGTCTTGCTGCCCATGGCACTCTAAGCATTATACCCAAGTCTCAAAAGCAACAATCTGATGTTTTTTTCCCTCTTGGTCAGTGACCATGACTCGCATCCACAGTTGACAATGGTGGAAGCAGTGACTCATAGTAATTTCCTTTACATTTGCCATTAAAATAATTCACTAGCCTAACAATTTATTTAAAATTCTTCAGTATTAAAGCAATTTAATTTTTTTTTGTAGACAATGCTTTGCAGGTTTATAAGCACAGATGGGCAGAAATGGGTCTAGAACTTATAAATATCCTGCACCGCATCCCAGACAAATCTACTGATAGAAAACTGGTCTTGTTTTCTCTCCAAATGACAGTGTACTGAGGGGAGGGAGTGCTGTTGACATAGATGTTCATAGTAGGTATAAGAATGATCTTGATTTAAAAACAAAAATAAAAAGATAAAAATCAATATTCTACACCAAGTGGTTTATGGCCATATCCCGTTGAAACACCAGTTCTTGTATGATCACCAAATTTAAGCAATGTTGAGCCTGGTCAGTACCTAGATGGGTGATTGGTTGAGAATAGCAGGTACTGTAAGCTTGAATTACAGTTGGTGTAATGGATAATAGCTCAATGAGAAATCTGAGAAGCATATTTGAATTCCAGTCAAGTTCATTACAGCCACGTTGGGAAAAGTGTGAATCCCCCGATATGGGTTATTTAGTCAGATTTGTATCAGTAAATCATTCTCTTCAAAAAAATAACTTACACTAAGTGGTCCAGGAAGTAGGACTTCAGATAAACCTTTCCAAAACAAAAACTATGATATACTCTTTTCTTATATTAACAGTTGAAAATGAGTGAATTCTATTAATTTTAAAGAAGGCTACTGTATTCCACTGCCTATAAGATGCACCAATGCATATTTTCAAGGAAGAAATATGAAAAAAGTTGGGGTTTTTTGGGTTTTTTTTCATAGCCCTTCCCACTATCCCCATTTTTACCCACTAAATAGTATATTTCAACATAAAAACTTGACTAATCATGAGAAATTCATCACAGGCCAATAACAAATTTATGGTAACTATTTAGAATGTAATAATTAAAAGAAAAGTTAGAGTGCATAATGCCAGTAAAATGTAACCTTATTGCAATCTGAAATCTTCATTAATTATGAAAAATTCATTACAAACCAGGATGGACCACTAATTTTAAATTAGATATATATAAATTTGGATACAGAAATAAGGTTAAGTTTGATTTATGTGTAGATTAAAATATATGATAGTGTTTACTGTGTACTGCTGAAGCCTTGTACTAGTATTATAGCTTGAAATCCTCACTATCAGTAATCTTGCCAAGTTTATCTTAACTGCATAAATGGCTTTTCTCAAAACATTGATAATTTAATTTTAAAACACAGGACTTGTTTTACTTTCAAGTGTTCAGAAACGGATGTAACTGGAGAGTTAACACACATCTCAAATTTATAATTCTCGTCACCAACCTTTGATTTATATGATGAAGGGTAGATTTTAGAAATATTTTATAAGGAAAAAAATTGTCTTATAAAGAGCAAAATACAGTAATCTTTATCAAACCCTATAAACTAGTGCTACAAAATTACAAAGAGCTTTATCAAATAACAAAAACCACATCTCTTGAACACTTTCAAGAGTAGCAATAACAGAAAATTGGTAGTGTCGTTTTCACTAAAATATCAACTACAATATTTATAAACCTATCACACTCAAGAAAACACTTACATCTTAAAACACACCAATAAAATCATAGATTACAAATCAGAATGTTTGTTGTATTAGTCATCATTATTTTTAGGTAGATACCAACCAAATATTGTACAGACGTAGTAGAAGACATACCACGCGACTTCTTAGGGCCAATTAGGAATAAATAAATAATTTAATTCTGAAGCCAATATTGTTCGGAAAAACATACAAAATCTGTTCCCAAAACAATATACACGCAGCTGCCACCAAACTACACACACCTCTCGCTGATGACCTTCATGACCTCATGTTAAAAACGACAGCGTTGACAAACTTCAGACCACGGCAACACTGCCAACAGTAAGAAACAATTCGTATCTCTAGTATCCGTTTTTACTATGAATCACGCACACACATGTTGACTTTTTCATACAAACACACATATCACAACATTTTATTGTTTCTCACACACGTACACAAAGACAGTTTATATTTTATTTCAGAACTTTATTAACCCAAACAAAAGACGTTGCTTTCCAATCTATTATCAACTGTTTGTATTCCTATCGTTATATTAAATTAATGTTTATTTGTTGAAACTATGTTGTCTTTTCTACTGAATTTTATTCCTTCAATGAAAAGCGTTTGATTATTCTAGACGGCCAAATTACGAGCGACCCTGTAATGATATTTTGTTAATGTATTGAATCCCGACACTCCAAATTTTAACATTCAACAAAAAACCAAGCAGAAGGATTCCTACAGTAGTACATGAAAAAGAGAAAATAATGATATAATCAAGATGTAGATATTGTACACAATCAAAAGCAAAAGATTTTGGGTTTAATTTCGATTGATATTAGAAAGAGCTATATGGTTAGTTGTTGCAAGAACTCTTTTTTCTTGAAAAACTGTTTTAAGATAAACATCTTAGGTTTCAACCGACAATGACAGTTCCTGTTCAATCAATGAATGTAAAATACTCCCTGTATAGAAACAACTCATTTTTATTATTATTATTATTATTATTATTATTATTATTCTTTATGTGCTGTGACTCCTCAGGATGTAGTCAATCATCGCTTTCCACAACTTCCTGTCCTTTGTATTAAATTTTGCCTTTCTGTTATTTCTCCTAAACCCTGTTCTGCCATCCATTTACTCAAGCTCACTAATTATTTTAATGCATTGTTTTCCTCTGTCCCTCTTTTCTTCAATCTGTCTTGTGAGTATCAGATTTTCCAAGCCCTCTTCCTGACACTAAGTTTCTATTTTGTTCCTATTTTCTCTAAAACTTCATTGTTGCTCATAAAATCAGTCCATAGTATCCTCAGCATCTTTCTGTAGAACCACATTTCTGTTGCTTCAAGTCTCTTCATCTTAGAAGAGATTGGCCAGCACGCACTGCCATACAGAAGGACAGATATCATTTAACAGTTTAGTACTCTTCCTTTTTCTAGCAAAGTTTTCCAATTTCTTAATACTCTGCTTTGCTTTTGGAATGCATCTTTGAATTTCAGTGTTGCACTTTCTGTCCTCCATTCGAACACTTCCCAGATATTTAAATTTCTACACTTGTTTGATGTTAGTATCTCTAATTTACGTTTTGGGCTCATTCTTTTGCTAACAACCATGCATTCTGTCTTCTTGCAGTTGTTATTTAATCCTTTCTTCTCACTTTCCTTCATTACGTTCTGTAGAAGTTTTTATAGTTTTTTTTGTTTTTTTTTTTTTTTTTTCTCCATGTCTATCATCACTGTCATCAACATATCTTATGTTAAGATTGTGGCCACCAATAATGAATCCTGGTAGGACTTCTAATTCACTCAATTGTTTCACTGCACAGGTTGAGTAAGACAGGTGAGAAGACACATCATTGTCTTACACCTCTTTCTAATTTTGCATATCTGCTGAACTCATTTTCTACCTGTATGCAGGTGTTTTGCAGTTCTTCAAATTTTTCTATTCAATATATCTTAACTGACTTTACTTAATAAAAATATTTTTAACAATTTTCGTTTTTGCCTCATATGACAGCATATTTTTTAAAGATCTGTTTAATAAATAAAATTATAGATCTTTAAGAATAAATTTAAAAAATGAAAACAATCATTTTTTTCTTAGATTTTTATGCATTAAAAAAACTTTTCTGTTTCACTTAGTATTTGAAAACTGTAAACAAGTCTGTTTAAGCTGTTGTTTTAATATTTTAATGTTAACATGGTCTTGTTTTTCTTTTTCTCATAGGTTTGGAGAAATAAAATTAAATGTCTGAAAGGTAAGTCCTTTAAAACAGTTTATAAGTTATTGTGTCCATTAAATATTATGGAGATTTTTTTTTTTTTGTAGCTATACATTGGCCAAGTAATTATTTAAATATCTTTTATGGTGAGAAGAATCTGTTTTGTCTTTCAAAAAGACTTCTTCAGACTAAATAATTCCTTTTTATTGATGTAGGGGGGAAAGAATGAAAATATAAACAAATATTGGTTAATTAAATATCTAGAGCAACGTTTCTCAACTTTTTTTTACCTTTGTGGAACCCTTGAAATAGTTTTCATGCCTCAGGAACCCCCTGAATAAAAGTTATTATATACCATTATTAATATCTATCTCTCTTATATTTTTATTGTAGTTCTTCTAGTAAACATAACATAATTGTTTTTTTTGTTTTTTTTTTCAGATAATTGCTTTAACGAAAAAGAAATGACCCTTTTTACTTTTTTTTTGTCAGATTTATTGGTAACTAGCAGTATAACCCGTCTTTAACCGGGTCTTTCAGTTGGAGCAGTTTAAGTTTAAAGTCAGCCCACCTGAAAATCAATATTAGTAAAAACATTTGGGTGAAACTGAGGTAGATCCCCAAATTTGAATGGGGAGTGGCCCTGAAAAGGGAGCTGTATAATAATAAATGATATTATTGTAATAATTTAAACTATTTTTATTAAAGTTTTTTATGAAAGATATATATCCAAGAACAGATAGTAAAACGTTGCTGAGTTATAATGGACAGGAAGTAGTGGAGAGCCATTGTCGCCAACAATTTGGACTCAAAACCGGCACTGAAGAATTATCTATCAAACAAAAAAAAATTCACTGAAATTGGATGAAAACTGTGGAAAATGCATAAACAACATCTGATCACGCACACACACATTTTGAGAATTATAGATATAAGATGCAAAAGAAAAATCATATTGCTTGGTGCAAAGTCTCTCATGCCAAGATTTTCATTCACAAAAAGGATCTGTAAACACACATAAAAAATAAACCAAAATAACCAATATCACATGATTATTATAATTTTAGAGTTGAAGCCTTTATTTTAATAACCAAATATTTTCTGACAATATGCCATATGTGTATAGCAAAATTACAAATGTAAAATTAAACAAAAATTATTTAAAAATGCATTATATTATGGTGTCTTGTGGAACTCCTAGTGAACCCTACATATCAGGGTGGTGGGGGAAACACTGCTCTAGAGAAATGCTGAAAATAGGTCACTTTAAATCTAAATTTCTGGCATCTTTGTATTTTTCTTGAAATTTAATTATAACCAACATATCACACTGAAACGCTGGTTTTCATACAATCACCAAAGTTGAGCAATGTCAATTTGTTTTTTTTTCAGCTTTTGTTCCTGACCCCCCACTTTCTTTACAGTTATGAATTCTGAGTTATCCTCTCTTTACTTTGGTTTCTCTACTAAAAAGCTCACTCTACTCTACTATTTTAGGTGTAGCTAGGGCAAGGAGAGATGGATTCATGCTTTCTCTAAGGTTAATAGCGATAAGTGAATACAATGGCCTCAGCCAAATTTGAACTTGAAGTGCAAACTCCATTTTCTATAATTCTTACACCACCTGCACATGGGAAATCATACAGTGAAAATTTAAAATCAAAGATCAGTTATTAACTACATACTTATTGATTCTCTCTCACTTACATAAAAACACACAAGGTGCTGTAAAGTTCAATACCATTTAAGGACAAAGCCAAGATGTCTTTTTTTTTTTTTTTCTTTTTTAAAAAAAAAAAATTCAAAATTGGCTACGATTGAAATACTGATGGTTTAGTATGTATTTTGTGTGTGTGTGTGTGTGTGTGTATATATATATATATATGTAAATTAACTGATTTAAAAATATAGTTCCTTTGCTACACAGGAATTACCATGTTTCAAAAAGTGAAGCTAAAAACTTCAAATTTAATTATATAATTAAATTAAAAGCATTAGTTCTGTTTCATCTTTCCTTTTAATGTGTAATCATTTTCTCTATAATTTTAGATCCACTATTTCTTGATCTGTCACAAATTGAAAACAAGTGGAAAGAGCGGGATAAAAATGATGGAATTCCTTCACAGCCAGATTTATTGCATCCTGAAAGGAAATCTCCTGATATGAATGCAAGCAAGGTAAGCATAGTTTAGTGCCATGTTATTGGAAACATTAGTTTCAACAGTCCTCTATGACTGATTTCCTGAAATCATATTTTCTGATAGTGTCATGTATAGATATTCATATTTACAAAAAAACACACGCAAAAAAAAAAAAAAAAATTTTCAAACTTTTTTTTTAAAACAATGGGGGAGAGATTGCTAAATTGTACTGAGCTTTTCCATTTATGATTAGTAAATATAGTTTTTAATTTAATAACAATATCATTTGTTCACTACAAATTAATACAAAATTTTAAAAGATTTAGAAATTTATAATTTATATTCTAATTTAGAAAAAGAAAAAAATTCTTATAAAAATTCATTATTCCTTGAAAATTACTTTTTCTTTACTTTATATTATACTAGCAGTAGAGCCCAGCATTGCCCTGGAATGTAACAGTAAGAGATAGATCAAGTATCGACCATCATAAAGACTGAAAAATAAAATTGACAAAGATTATTGTTTAAGGTAATGTCTTAATTAGTTTTTTTGTTTTGTTTTTTTTGAATTGGTCAAACTCAAACAAAAACATTGTTTTCAATTGTTATGAGTCTACCAATTGAATAGAATTTTATTATAAACAATTGTCTTGTAAATGGAATTTTTAAAGCATTCTGAATGTAAAAATAAAGAAAAAAGTGTGCAAGACAATAAGAAACACTACCTGCCAAAAAAAAAAGTGAAGTTTTGTTGAAATCGGTTGAAAAATGTAGGAAATCTGATACGATTCACACAACCTAGGTTTTATAATAAGTATAACTCGATATGAGTTGTCCCCCTTTCATTCTCGCGATGCCTCTTAATTGTGTTTTCAAATTGATTTCATGCAAAAACAATTGTTTTTTTCCAATTTTTGGTGCTGTCAGAACCCCCGCAAGGTAATTTTATGTAGTCCTGTGTAGTTTTGTTGAAATCAGTTGAAAAATGTAGGAAATCCGATCCAATATATGAACGTACAGACACACACACAACCTGTGTTTTATAATAAGTATGATATATTATTTCTATTGCTCAAAGATCGAGATAAAATAAATGAAGATCAATTTGGATGGATCCAAATGTATTAGAATGCAGAAAATGAGAAACACTCCACCTACCAGTATTGACATAAGGTTCATCTTCTGAATTTTGGAGAACCAACTAAAAATAAAAGGTTGTTTGACTTTTTCAAAACTAATTTACAAGCTCAATTGAGGTCATGAAGTGGTTTTATATAGGTACCTCTAAAAATTTTCTAAAAAAAAGCCCCCAAACTTGATAAAAACAAAGTTTGTCAAAATCTTTAGTCTTCCTCTTAATAATAAAAGTATTTTTTGATTATTTTATTTAATTTTTTAATCCTTTCTAGCAAGTTTGAAATTTTGGTTAAAAATCTTGTATCGGTGGGTTTGCCAAAAATTAGTATAGGGATTTTTAGTTTTTTTTTAACAGGTTACCCTGACTTAATTTTTATGAAATTTTGAGAAATTAAAATTCCAGCATCTTCATATTTATATTAGTTAAAAACAGAACTGCTTGGAGAATTTAAATCATCAATTTGATTTGTCAAACAGAAACACCATTTACTGAAAATTTGCTTTGAATCATAAAATAAAAAAATGCAATAAAATAAACATTATCTAATTAGAAAAGCATTAAGTATACTGTTGTCTTAAGAAAAAAAAAACTTTTTCAATGAATAATGAACGTTTTTATAAGAATTGTTTTAAAATTTTAGGTAGAAAAATTTATTTAAGTATTTTAAAATTACAGAATTTTAAAATACTTAAATAAATTTATAATAAATTATATCGTAAATGTAAAAGCTTAATACAAATCATCAAACACCAATGTTTTTAAAAGAATTTTGAATTCATTTGTAGGTGTAAAAATGTGCTGCTTTTTATAAGATAATGTTGTGTATGGTCGCCCTGACCATAAACAATTTAGGATTACTGAGTACTTAAAAACTATATAAAAAAGGTACTCACATCATATGAAATTTACTAATTATTAAATCCTGACATTAGTCGTTTTGGGTAAGGATCATTTATTTCCTAATTTTTTATCTAATTTTTTTTTTTTAAACTCTGATTAAAAGGCTAATAAAGAAAAGAAAAAAGATTGTAATTTCTAAAATTCAAATATGCAAAAATAAGTTTCATTTTATTTTCAGTAAACAAATAAAACCTCTTCTAATTCATATAAATATGACTAAAACCAGAAATTCTGTGTTAGTTTACTTGACTAATCATATTTGAATTGCTACTTGCTAAATATTAAAAAAAAAACACATTTTGTGGGGGTGTTTAAACACCCCAAAGTACTAATAGATTAAATATAATCAAAACACTGAAATAATGTTTAATACAATATCCTGTAAGACTTTCCTGATGTCATCAATTCTCAACTTACACTAATGATAAGAACTATATACTCCTGTCTTAATAGTAAGTCTGATTGGTTTGATAAGGTCAAATTGGCAGATGACCTCAAAAATGACAGTCTTGTTAAAAGGGGCACGGAATGGCTTGTTAATTTTAACACCTCCAAAACAAAAAGTTTTTTTTTTTTTTTTTTTAAATCATCATCTGAGAGAACCTCTTTTTACCTACCATCAGCATAGAGTGACTCATTGCATTTTCTTGGGCTAACATTTTCCACTGACATGAAATGGAAAGATAATGTTGCTGGAAAAGTTAGTTCAGTGCCATGCTAGACCATTTTTCTCACTAGAATCTATCTTACACATTTATAAGTCTCCCATTTGTCTATGTACTGAACATTGCTGCTATATTTGGTCTGGTGATTCTATATATTTAGAGATTCTTGATAAAAAATACTATGTATCTGCAGTGTTATTGGTCCTAACCTGGCATCTCAACTTCAGTCACTTTTCCACTGTGCCTTTTTCTATATTTTCATGGTAATTGTTCTGATGACATTTCTTGTATGGTACCAAAACTTTTAGGAATTTAAATGCAGTACTAGATTGTCGACAAGATGTTACCATTTTTAAAGTTAAAATGGTGAGATGTAACCATCAGTTCAATGCTAAGTTTTTTTTTCTCTCGCACTTCTCATTGAACTTTCTTCTAGCTTCAGGCTTTCTAATCAATGTTAATTTTTATATTTTGTGTTCTTCTCTTTCCTTAATAACGTTTTCTTTTTATCTCAGTTGGTAACGTCTTGTGCCTAAATAACCTGATGGTCATGCTTGGAATGAAATGAAAAAAATATTAACAAAATGGTGTACTACTTAATTATCATACTCGACCTGTAAACAATATATATATAAAATTTTGAGTCTAGTGCAACATGTGGCCTTATGCTGTACTAAGCCAAGATCAATATAGTGTCTGTGTAGTTTTAAGCATATGTATGGATAGAAGTTTGTCTTTTTCAATTTGGTGAAATTTTGGCTTATGTATAGATTTTTTTTTCTTGCAGATTCAACTCTTTAAGTCCGTGCTTTCTGTCATGGAAGAAGGTTTCACACATGTGGATAATACTGCTGAGAAATATAAAAAATGAAGGTAAAGACATACAGGGCTTTTTTTTCTTTTTTCGTTCTAGACAAAAAAAAATAATACAATATTTAACAGTAATTATGAAAATACAGAAATCCCCACACCCCCTAAAAAAAATCTAAAGTAATAGCATCAGCCTTTTGAAATAATCAAAAAAAAAAAATATATATATATATATATATATATATATATATATAAAAAGGCTGACAGCCAGAGAAAAATGTTACAAGTTTTCTAAGATATCAATGGGCTTTGGGGCTGGTAAGTATTATATAGACTGATGATATCCACTTTTTTTTCTTTCTTTCTAATATCAAATCTCAATGTTAATTCTTATGGCAACCTCATTAGATCAGAAGCATGCATTTTCACATAAGTTAGTTTAGGGACTTATTGACATTAATTCAGATATGAGGAGTTCAGTATTTCATTTTTTTTTTTTCTTAAATCAAAAATCCATGTTTAATTAGAATTTATACATTCCCAACACTTCACAATATCCATAATGACATCTTTGCAACACTTTTGGTTTAGATGAAGAAACATGAGAACAGTATTTCCCCATGGCAGAGTACAAAGACAGATATTTCAAAATGGCCAGTGGGTACTTCCAAAATTCAAATTTTGTTGGATTATTCATTATTTTATTTTTTGCCCCTCAGGTAAAGGGCTCAGATGAGGAAAGAAAATAAAGAAAATAAAGAAAATAATTTGAATTTACAATTTTATTATATTATAAAAATCTAAAGTAAGATTTATGTATCTGTGTCTTCATCGTCAGACCATTTACTAACAAAGGCACTGTCACTTTCCATGTCCTCATCTTTATCGTCGTCATTTTTTTCTTCACAGTCAGATCCTTCATCTTCTTGCTTGTCATTTTCTTCTCTCTTTCGCTTCAGTGCACACTGGCCCAGCAGGTACTGTAATGTATATTTGTTATATTCACATCTGAAAAAAAAAAAAAAATTAGGAATACCTTATTTGGTAACTCTTGGACAAACAAAAGTTCCTGGTGCTCTTTTTAGGAACTTCAAAGGTCAAGTTTTAACATGGGGCAACTATAATATTTCCAATTCTAAATAATAATCTTATAAAACTAAGTCTACCTAATGTCAACATCTTTGTTATCATGTTTCTTTCTAATGTTCTTTGGGGAACACCTTTGTTTCAATCTATAGAAGTCTATGACTAGGAATATCTCTTCTTATTAGTACTGTTCAATTATTGTCTGACCTGTTTCTGAGTTTAAGGGATTTTTTTTTTTTTTTTTTATCATTTCACCCTAAAACCACTAGGACACAAGAGGTTACTAAGAGAGGACAATAAAAGAACAATTGCATTTAAATTTTTGAAGATCTATATCAAAGTTGACTGGGAAGCAAGAAGCTGGAAGAGGCTTCCACAAGCAAGAATTGTGATAGTTACATCTAACCATTTCAACTGTAAATTGATGAGACCTTGCCACATATCTTAAATTCATAAAGTCTAGATACCATAGAGAGAACTTCATCAGAACAATTACCATGAGAATATCACAGCAGTGGGTAAGGGGCTGCTGCCAAGTCAGGACCAATAACATTGAAATTTCTTACAAAGCAAGGACTTGTAAATTTGTCTAGCATGACAGTGAGCCAACTTTCTTGGCAGCAGACTTAGCAATTGATTCTATATACTTTTTATTACAAGAATACTTTGATAGTCATTTTTTAAATTATAGAGTTGGATATGTGTGAGGAGACTGATTTAGATAAGAACACTCCACCCCGTTGATTAAATAAAGGGTTCAGTTTGAAATTATTTAAGTTCAGAAAGTACAATTAATGAAACCTCAAAGGAAAGGTAAATAAGAACTAATCCGAGAGATTTAAGCATCACCGAGAGCCAAGACAAATTATAGGAATATTTTGATAGTCATTTTTAAAATTATAGAGTTGGAAAGGGTGGGGAGAGAAAAAAAAAAAAAAGAAAGATACTTACAATTTACTAATTTCATCATGTTTGATCCTTGTGGCTTTCTGTAAGGAACGTAAAGTGGCCATAATAGAGCCTGATCTTTGTCTTAAGGAAGGACTGTGTGACATAAGTAATTTTTCAAGCCATGTTAAGTAAAACTGTATATGAGCTGAATTTTCTATTTGAGTAGGTAGGAATGACAACAGACGGTCCACATAGGTTTCTGGAAGATTCTGAGCAAGAAACTCAACTGGAAAGTTGAAAAAAGATGAATTAGAAGACTCCAAGAAATTTTTAGGAAAAAAAGAAAATGAGTTGAAATATTTATCTTCACAGGATACAGTATCAAAGTTCTATATTGATTATATTTTAGCCTGAAAGCTCAGGAGAAAAAAAATGATACCCAAGTAGTAGAGGGTTGGCAAATTGAGATGGTTTCAAATAAGGCAGTTAACCAATTAAAAGTCATCTGTTGATAGGTGGGTCATGTCTAAAGAAAAAATTTTAACAGTTATTAGTGGATAGAGCTTAAATTGCAATAATATTCTTTGGAAAGTCTTAAATCCATCTCTTCTGACCAGCTTCAGGCAAACAAGATGGTGTGGCTTGGTTACCTTCACTCAAGATAAGACAGAGGAGAATGCTGAATTCAGAACCATAAAAAACTAAATTTCCCCAAGAACAATCATGGCATCTTCTAGAGAAAGAAGAGGTGCCTATAGGGAGGCCATTACTGTCAACATACAGGAAAGACAGTTTTTTTCTTCCCCCCCCATTTAGCCTTTATTAAACACATTAATTAATAGAGCTCTACAGCTGATAGATCAAACATAATAGAAACTGATATGGTTTTTAATTATTATTGCTACTAACACAACTAGTATGTCTGTGTATATAATATATACACACACTTTGTATGATTATTATTACATGAATGTTTTTTTTAAATTATAATTTCAGTTGCTTTTCATCACAACTACAGAAACCCATAATCGTAAACAGTGCAAATCTGAAAAACCAAGCATAAACTCCAGGAAAGACAATATCAATCCCTTTTTTCATAAGAACTGCACTTTACAATTAAAATTACTACAAAGTGGACTTTTCTCGCTTGAGAGAATAAAATTTTATATTGTTTCCTATTGTTTTTGATCTTTCATCTGAAGTAAAGTCAAAACACATGACCTTCAGGATATAATTTTTTTTTGTTTTTTTTTTTACTCATTCTTTTTCAAAGTGGATAAATAGGTCTAACTTCATTACATTGTGTTTTCATGGATTTGCAGAGCATTATAAATATCTTGAGAAATATTACAACAAATTCAAAATTACAGGGAATAAAAATAAAATTATGAAAATGTTTAAGAATTAAGTGTGAGTTTCTTTTAAAACATTCACAATAGAAACAGACAACCATTATATAATAAATGGTTTTTATATAAGTGCAAAATTTGTATCAATCCTAATTTGCATAATAAATTGTATTATTTTTAACTCTGTATGACTTTTTTTTTTTTTTTTTTTTTTTCAATATCAAAGGAGATATTTTCTAGTACTAATGACATTGCTAGACTTACTCTGTGTGTAAGGGATCTTTTCTATAACCTCCTCAATTAGAGACTGCTCATTTAGACGAAAGCTCAGCATGAGAGCGGAAGAATAATCTCCCTTGCCCAACGTCTTTCGTATGCTTTCTGGAGTTATGTCCACTTGCAAGTCAAAGGGATCAAAGTGCAGTTTGTGGTCGAGAGAATAGACAAGGACGCCTTCTGTACTTGCAGCTGCCCATGAACGGCCTGGAGATTAGAAGTTAAAAAAAAAAAATTCTCAGATTTCATTGACTTCACAAATTGCAAAAACAATGAGGATGATGATAAAAAAAAAAAAAAAAAAAAAACAGCATTAGTTTCTTTACAAAACACTTAAGTTAAATGGGAATACAAATAATAGGTATATATTAACATTTACTTATGACTCGTGTAGATGTTATTTTGGGGTACATTATTAACCAAGATCACTTCCTTTTGAAAGAAATGTAAGTAAAAAAAAAAAAAAAATTATAAGTAACATCAGATTGTTGTGTCGACCTTGTTGTAAACAAGAATAGGAAATATTGAATAAATCACCGACTTGCCCAGATTCAAGCAAAATGTTTTTATTGAAAAAAATTTAAGTTCAAAAAGGCAAAATAATTACTAAATTAAAAAAATACCATCATTATTAACAAATATACAAAAATGTATAATTCCTGCTACAGACAACCTGTATTCAATGGTCAACTCTAAATTACTTCAATCAGTTCATCTTTAATCTTGTTCTTTTAACACAATTTTTTTTCAAATCAATAATAGAAGAGGAGTTCTGTGATAAAGATTTTCTACAGGTTTTCAAAAACTAAATTGAAGTAAATAAAGTGCTTTTGTTAATGGTTGCTAATATTACAAGAATTTAAGGTGGGTAAGAAATATGAACATTGAAGCCAATAGTTTATTGGTTATAGAACAACTTTTTACATTACTCTGCATTAATTAACAAGATTGGGTGAGCATGTGTATGAACTTTGCTAAAATCAATGAAGAAAAATAGTTTGAAATGAAATGTCCATTTTGTAACAGAATGAACATATGATGAATTGGATAAACAACTAAATGAACATTTGTAGAAAGTTTCCAGCACTTAAAATTGAATCTCTGAATGTCCCTGGATAAAGGTAAAAATGAATCCACCTCTAGTACTATATAGCATCAAGTTGTTTTTTTTTGGGGGGGGGGGTTGGAAGAGAAAAAATCTGATTACCAATGACTTTTGACACAACAGCTTGTTGATTTGTTTTTTATGTGGCTTATCAGCTTGTTGGTTATTAAAAGCTGAAAATTTTTGAATTGTGAAGGGGTTTGGGGGGGGGAAGCAAGCAAATATTGCATTATCAATTTTTTGATGAATAATGATTTTTACAGATACAAGTCTGATTTAACTCATAACTGATATGAGGAGATGGATTCATAATTTTCCCAAGGATATTTATGCATAAGTGAATATAATGAGCCACTATCTACAACACCAACTGCACATCCACTGACACAGAAGAACTACTTTAGTTGCCAATGCAATAAAAACTTAAAAGATGTCATCTCCACAACCAATTTTGACTAGGCATAATCCAAATCCATTAGAATTATAATTGTGTACAGTGACTATTGAGGGAGAGAGAATTTGAAGAAAGATGTAAGCAGAACTGAACACAATGAAAGCAGACACATCAAAGGCTTATTTTGGCCATCATGTCTTTCGATAATTCTATGCTATTTTTTTTTTTTTTTTTTTACCATTGAGATGTCTTCCTTCCTACATCATCCGTCAAACAATGATCACATATCCTCTTCACTATGTCAGTATCCATGTGATTAAAATGATACAAAATGAACAGAATATTGATGCATGGTTCAAATTATTTACTAATTCATTTTCTCAAAACTTCCTAAGTCAAATCTGTGAATACCAAAACTAACTATATTTAACCAATAAAAAAAAAAAAAAAAAAAAATTACAAAATATAATTATAGTCTGTTGTATAAAATTTCTTATAGTTTCTAAACCCTACATTAGTATTGTGAGGCATATATATATATATATATATTTTAAATCATTTCATCCCAAGCAAGGTAATAAAGCCAATAAGATGCAAGGGGTTACAAAAGTGAGAGAGAATATGCAGAAAAAAAAAAAAACCAGTAAGATTAGAGAACAATAAAATAATATGAATTAAGGCAGAAGATAACATTTGATATTGATCTTCAAAAGTTTATATACAAAGTTGACTGGAAAGTCAATGTCAACATTAGTACCATATAAAACACCCGATATAAATAATGTGAATATATCATTTAGTTCTTAATTTTCTTGTTTTATATATATATATATATATATATATATATATATAAAGGAGGCACAGTGGGGTAATGGATAGCGGCTTGGATGGAGGAATCGGAGAACCGAGTTTGAATTCCAGTCAGATCCATTACATTCACTTCTGTGCTAAAAGAAAAGTGTGAATCCTCTTCTCCCTCCAGCTATGGGTAAATAGCAGGACAGACTGGGTTCTATGGCCTTGGATGGCAACTGGTCTATGAGAAGGACAACTCGAATTCAAAACCTGCAGAGGGTCGTTTGGGGACCTTGTGGCATGTAGTGTACCAGGTCTCTGTATTCAGCCCTTCAAAAAGGGTGGATGGTCCTGCACGAAACCTTCACCACTATAATCAAATCTCATGTGCTGTTGTCGTGCTGTTGGTTTCCTAGGAAATGATCTGCTTGACCCTCATACATCGAATTCGACAGGAGAGTTGAGTATATATATATATATATATATATATATATATATATATAAAATGTGTGCGCGCACAATGGACTCTCCTGTCAATTTCAATGTATCAGGATCCCACAACCTCATTAAGATTTTATGTTTGTGTCATATGTGACACTTCAATCCCATTAGTGACCTGCATACAAGTCCATATGTTGTGCAACAGTGAGGATCTTGGGACATAACTGATGCTTTTGCTGTTGCTTTTCTTCTCTTAGCCAGTCAATATGACTGATTTTGAAATTTTTGGCACAAATATCTCCAATTATTTCTATCCAGGGCAACTTGCTCCAAATTAGTATGATGCACATTGACAGCTGAGAGATGTGTGTGTATATTTTTTTGGGTGGGGGGGATAGATGAGAGAATAAAAAAAAAAAAAAAAAAAATCAAAAGTTTTTAGAAAAATCAATTAGTTTGTAAATTTCAAAAATTCAAATAAGCAAAAATAAGTTTCAATTTATTTTCAGTAAACAAATAAAACTGTTTGTAATTTGCACAAATATTATGACTAAAACCAGAAACTCCTTGATATTCAGAATGCTAGTTGAGTAATCATAAATTTTTTTACTAGCCACTTTCTAATTATTAAGAAAAGAGCGTTTTAATACTGGAGCTGCCTTTCCTTCATTTTTTTTTTTATAGTAATGATTCTGCTTAAATGTTAAAAACTAATATTCAAAAATATTTTTGTGCTCATAATAGAAAACACATGACTGATGGTTTATTCAAAATATAAGGTTAATTTTACTTTTTAATTAAAATTATGTAAAATCACATTTCTAATTACATAAATTATTGAAGAAATTTTATAAATTTACAAGCATACAAGTGTTAGATATAAAACAATAGACAAAACAATACCAACCAGTTGGAGAGAACTTAACACAGCTGACCCGAACCTCTGGTTTCCAGTGACGTGACGACATGTCCCCTTTTCGAACCCCAGGAAGGGCAATACTTTTACCAGGGCCATCTTCTTCATCATCATCATCAATCAAGGCACGATTACCCCATTCAGTCATTTGGCGTTTGTCCAAAAATTCCTGATAATGAAGAAATTGTATAAATAATTCATTATTTAATGACACTAACACATTTTTCACAAATGCCTTATTTAAATGCATCTACTTTCAAGAAAATGTGTTTTATACTACAAATCGCATAGAAGACAATTCACTGGCAACAAAAGACCTATATCATTTGAAGAGGCAAAATGGATATCAGTGTTTTTGTTATAATGTTGAAATGAACAAAACTTTACCTGTAATTTTAATGCCAGAGCTTAGTTCAATGATATCTATTTACCTGGTGGTCACAAGTCCAATCCAAATGAAGAGGAAAATTAACTGAGAAGAAATAAGTGATATGGAGAGCAGAATGAGAGCAATCTGATGGTCTGGAATACAAATGGCCTGGTCAGAAAATCTAATGGCTTTAGATACAGAAGGCTTCATCCGAAAATATAGTGGCCTAAATACAGGGTTTGGGTTTATTTTGTTTTATAGCATATCAACCTCAATGTGTTATTTAATGCTGACAAGATTTTTAGAATAGATTTGCATGAATAGAATATGTATTCTTTGTAAGAAATCAGTTTGTAGGGTTTCATTGATGTATTCTTGTAAAGAGGGTTTGTAGAGAGTCTGGTTCCAGTGACGTATTCTTTTCAGATATACAGTTGATAGAGAAGTTGCTTTTATTGACATTCTTATTTGGTTTATATTTTTTTGGTATAGGCCACTGTTTTAAGAAATAACATGTCATCCATTTTTGCTTTTTCAAACAGCTCATTCATGTTTATATTTTTGTCTTGAAAGAGCAAGGTCTGAACACTCTGTTAATATATGTTTAATAGTGTATGTAGTTTCACATGCTTGGCATACTGCCTGATCTTCCTTTCTTTAGCAAGTACCAGTGAGTTATTCTTGTGTGGCAAATGCATAAGCTCATATTATTACTTTCTTTTGAGTTTTTCTGAAAGCAGACTTCCAATCTCCTAGTTTGGGCTGAATTGCGAAAAGCTTATCAGTGTGGATTATCATCACAGCACCATTGCCATTCCTTCTGAATGTGTTTGTTACTGACCTCCTTAAAGTCAGTGTATGGGATTTTGGTCGTTGAATCTACAATCTACACATCCATATCTAAAGCCGATTTGGCTGCTAGGTCCGCTTTATTGTTACTGGATACACAGAGGGCTTGGTCCAAAAATCTCAGATGATTAGCAAACAAGGACAGAGTATACAATGACCAAAACATTGAATAGATTAATATAATGGTCATTCCTCATTTCAAAAATTCAGATAAGAGAAGGTTCTTAATTCTTTTTCCAAAGAAAGGAGGGGAAAAATTGTAATATAAGTGACAAAAACTATTACAAATGATATAAGCATGGCAAAAATAATATTGAATAACAAATCAATTTGCTTTGAATTTACAGATAAGCAAAGTCATGTCCAAACAAGATTACTAAATGAAAAGTGAGTAAAGTTTTGGAAAAGCTTCTTCAAAGTAGATTTTCAATGTATCATTCAGCTTATTTTAATGTAAATAAGTCTGATTTAGATTAAAACTTAAAAGCCAATAGTAAAATTGTGAAATAGAAACAAACAAAATAAAATGAAACTTACTTCCATTCCATCAAAAGATTTGTTGCAAGAAATTTGAAATTTCTTCATAAGAATTTGGTCTTTTACAGAATAAATGCAGATATTTTTGGATCGGCCAGCAGCCAACAATGCTTTTCCATCGGCCGAATAGCAAATGGTGTTGAATGCTCTGAAGAATTAAAGTGAAAAAAAAAAATACTGATAAGAAAATAAAATATTTACATTTTTGAAATTGTAAAGATATTTCTTTAAAAATATGCTTTTGATTTAACAAATTTTTTGAAAAAAAAAAAAAAAAAATGAAGGGTGATTAACTTACTGTCCTGCAGCAGATTTTTTAGCAGTGATCATATCTTCCAATTTACGGAAATAGCCAATATCATGTCTACCTTCTATGGATCCAACTTGTATTGCATTCTGAGTGTCCCAGAATGTAATGCATGCATCCAATGCTGCAACAGCAAGTTGTCGTCCATCAGGATGGAATGCCACAGCCAAAACTAGAGAAAAAATAATATTAACATTATCATGGACTTAGACAAGGAATGAAAAAGATGGATCTTATTCTTGTTTTATGAAAACAAGAGTGAATTTTATAACCAACAAGTAAAACAAACATCTTTGTTTAATAAAAAATAAAACAAATCATTATTATAGCCATAATTATTTGGACTTACAAGATATTCTCGGTGCTTTAAAATTTATGTTGGCCTTCTATATGATAGCAATTTTTAGGTGATGAGATGAATACCAACTGTTAGGTCTTTGGAAGATACTGTAATATTTTTGCTAACAACACACACACACACACACCTCTTATTTATCCACAGAAATCATGAAATATACAAAACAAATTAAATTACTGACGATCTGACAGCATAAAAGAATTATGTATATAAGGATTAAACAATCCAACAAAATACATACTTGAATAATTTAAGATTTGTGAATACAACTATATATATATATATATATATATATATATATATAAAACAATGAGATAATGGGTTGATGCTGCCATATTAATAAATATTTACTTTGTTACTTTAACAATAATATAACATAAACAAAATATTATAATTTAATTAATAATACAAATTAACTAATATTACAATTTAATAATATAACTTCAACCTAAACCATAAAAGAAATTTAAATTTAATTTTGAAGAAAAATTTACAACTGGAAGAAAAATCTACAGCTAAAAAAAAACAAAAAACATACAAAGGCATGAACAAAAGCAAAAATTCATGAGTGTGCACATGTAAGAGAATATTAAATTCATGAATTAACACATGTACAAAATGGATTGAAAAAGACAGGAAATAAATTGAAAATATTTAAAAAACAGAACCTCTTGAAAAAAGGGACATTACTAAAAAGCTTCAAAGTCGGGAAAACAACAAAAAAATTGATATTCAAAGTTAAGTAAATTTTATATATATATATGAAGAAATATAGTTTTAAGGTGTGCTATATTTATAGGATAAAGTGCTCAATATCAGAAATAGAGCGTATGTAAATATAAAAGTAAACATTGAAGTCAACACTTGGAGGCGACAGGCTGTTTCATGCTAGGTGCAATTGTCAGGTCACAAATGTTGGAATCAACCATTCGCAGTCTGACGATTGTGCCTAGCATGAAACAGCCTGTTGACTTCAATGTTCACACACACATTTTTTTTATATATATATATATATATATACTTAAAACCACTGGTTGAGATAAAATTGTAATGGATATGGACAATAGATGTTGATTTGATTTCTAAGTCGATATTAAAACTATGTCGAAAGTAACCACTGACTGGCCAGAGAGTTGTTTTTTCATGAAGCAGTTTTGGGTGGTCAAGATGGATAAAAAAACATCTGTTTTGTTCAGGCTTAAAACAGGACGCTGATTTGGATAATAATTTTTCACTTGAAGATAATGGTCAGAGGAAGCATCACATGCGGCCTGAAAGAAAAGAGAATTAAATATTTTTTTTTTTTTTATCTTTTTCTGGAGATTTGATTTCTCCATAAAATAAATCCATACAGCCATTTCTTGGTGCTTTTTGTGGTGTCCAGTTGAAACTGGATGATAATGATTTTTTTCAAGGGGTGAATTCATCCAAAATTTAAAGTTGGTGAAGAGCCTTTTACTATAATTGAGGTAGTTAGCTTGTAGTTAAGGTTCAGATGGACCCTTGTTACAGTCCCTAGAAAAAGAGTGGTCAACCAGATCAAGTGACACCCCAAAGAGAGTAGTAACAGGTTGTTTCTAAAGAAGTTGGAGGAAGAAGAGGAGGTGGCAGCTATGAGTGGAAGTCAGAGATGCTGAAGAAGGCAAGTTGGAGTTTGATGGGTGGATTAACCCTATCACTGCCACTAAGGGTCAGGATAATCGCCCAAAACTGGGAAAATCTCAGTTGAGACAAAGGAATGGTTGATATTTCTATGCCAGTCAGACCCCCACCTGGTTTTGGGCAAAGCATTATTTAAACCAGGCATTTTGATGCTTTCAGGAAGAACAGGGTCATAGGTTGAGCAGAGTAGAACTGCAGGTTGGGCAGAACAGATCAGCAGACTCCAGAGTTGTTCAGCAAAGTCCACAGAAGAACTCCAAGAAAGAGTTATTGTTTAGATTTGAATCAGAATGTGCCTAAAAACTGACTAGGCTACCTCCTGAACCCATGATCATGTAGCAACTTAAAACTAACAATTAGATGCCAAGAGTGAGCAGTTAACTGCCCAAGTCTTAAGATAATTGTCCATCACTCCTGCATTTTTTTAAGCTTGTATTTTTTCCTAATATTAGTGTATATAAATGATTTGTTAAAGTTGAAAAGAGTTATCGTCTCCCTCATTATATAACCGTCAAAGTCACCGTTAGCCGTGGTATACCAACTCCTGCAGCAAATTCCTGGTTCTTTGAGATCAGTCACAATGTGGGGATTTGACTGGCTTTTTTGACAAGTGACTGCAACCAACAGTTGATGGAAGAAATTCAATATTGACGGCCATTAGCGGATATTCAGTGAGCCCGTTAGCTCATCGGCTGACTAGACAGCATTATAAAGTAAGATTAATGTACTTTCAATTGCAGAAATCAGCCATAACAGGATTGGTATGCTGGGAAGTGGCACTTGGATATGATTTTTTATGAACTCCAGCTAGGCGATGACATTGTCTGTTTGAAAACTGATAAGGGGCAAAATTAATTTGAAGCTGAATACTAGAGATAAACCAGATGTCCCTTTTTCAGTAAGAAAGTCATCTCGTTAATTTAAGAGAATATGGAGATAATACATGAGCTATGAGCTTTGTAAATTGTCATTTTCTATGGCTAGCTAAAGTCATTAATCATTGTTATTGGGGAAATATTGGGGAATATTTTGCTTGGCAATCATTTTCCATGAAGGGAGCTATTGAGCCGGATTCAATAACACACCTACATTTCACCGAACACAAGAATACATAGAACCCTCAAGCACCATTTCATAGAAGTTAAATTCTGTAGAGTTATTTTCTTTTCTCTTCACATTAAATTCTGCTAAGTTTACAAAATGAGTGGTTCATTTACCAAAGAACTTTTCCTCCCCTCAAGCCAACCATCAACATTACCATAACCAGAAGTGAAGAGTCACCACACTCTGTGGGAGATCGATTTCATAGCCCCTTGTGCCTTAGTAGCTTTATTGCCTTGGGTGAGATGATTTAAAAAAAAAAAAAAAAAAAAAAAAACTTTTGCTAGTTGATAGAGATCTTTGAATAATATCAATTTGTTTTTGTTAAAGTGAGATAATAAAGAGTTAATATAGAAAAATGAAATTCATACCATCTGAATTAATCAGTAGAGTCTCCCGAGATCCTTTATTCTCAAATACATCCCATAACTTGACTGTCTTGTCCCAAGATCCACTTGCCAATAGAGCTCCCGATGGGCTGAAAGTCAGGCCAGAAACTGGAGCTTCATGACCAGATAAGACATCCAGTAGTCGACCAGTCTTCATTGACCAAACAAAAATCTCAAAAGAGTCTTGACTGCCTGCACACACAATATCTCCACTTGAATCAATTGCGAGGCAGGAAAACTGTGCAGGTTGAGGAGATGTGAATGTCCGGAAATTACGGTACCTGGGGGTGTGAAGAAAAAAAAAAAAAAAAAAAATGTCAGAGCTTTTTTAAATGAAGAGTTATTATCATTTACATTTGAACTAATGATAACTCATCTTTGTTATAGTTATCACAATGTTTCAACTGTTGCGCTCACTGGCCTTCAGGTGTGTCGATTCAGGTAACCTTTCTGGGAATAATCTAAAAGGATAGAGTGTTCATGTCTAGGGATATCTTGTCTGGTTCTTATTTAGCACTGAGCTGTATAGTGCAGACTTATACTTAGTGAAAAAGTTTGTGAGCAATAACTGAAAAGAACTAAATAAGAGCAAGATGAGATATCCCTAGACATGGACAGCAGAACAAGAATAATTTACTCTTGTAGATTAAATAAAAGGCTCAATTCCAAATTCTCTAAAAGGTTATCCAAATTGACAAACACCAGACGAAGACTGGAGGGCACAACAGATAAAAGATTAGGATAATAACAAGGATGAGAACAGTCTGAAAGTAAATAAATTATATGCAACTGAATCTTAACAATACCATCTTAATCAAATGTTTTAAGTAAAAAGTGACAAGTGCATTAAAATTATACAACTTAAATTGTGATTCCAGATTTAATGCAAAATCTAAAGAGAAACTACAAATCAAGTAGCATTAATCAAAAATTGATTTCCATAAATTTTGAATATATAATAATAATAATAAGAGGTAAAAAGAGATTTTAATAAGAACTACAAAAGTTAAAGTAGCAAATGTTTTAAGCAATTTAAAATAATATATAAGAAAATAAAATTATCTCATTGTAGACTTTTCGTGGATAGCATCTACATCTACAATATTTGTAATATTCAAGTCATTTTAAATTTTTGGCTAGACATTTTCCTCAGATATTCCTCCAATTCAGCAGCAACTGTTTTTTTGTCAGGTTGAGATAATTTGCAGAATATCGTATTTGTTGCATACAACAGTGGGATATTCCTAAGGTAGAGGCAATTTCCATTTGTGATTCATTGTTGTCACAGAGACCATTTTTTTATATATTTTTTTGATTGAAACATTTAGCATTTGATGATAAAATATATAAATTAAATAAAATGTGAATTTTAAACAATACCAGGCTAATTTAACTTTTCATTTGATGAAATTAAATTTAAATGCCTGAAACATCTGCTATGTGAAATTTGTGTAGTTCTTAATTAAAGAAAAATAATTTAAATATTCGAGGAAACAAAAACCTGAAAAGTCCTGTCTGTGATACCTGGAAATGACACTGTTAAATTATCTTTGACATTCAGAGCCGAGAGAGAGAAAAGAAGTAAGGGGAATAGGAAGAGAGTACAAGGAGACAAGAAAATGATGAAAAGGAGAAATAAACACATTCTATATGCACACACACAAAAAAAAAATAACAAAAAACTAACACCAATAAACAGTACATAAATTAGATTTTAACTTTGTATAAACATAATGAAAATAAAAAAAATTAGCAATCAATTGCTGAAACCTAACGAGTGAACCGAATGAATACAAAAAGGTTCATCCCTGGAGACACTGAATATAACATCAATCAGCTAAATGATAAATTTTGTTTGTATTAATCCTATATTCAAAATACATAGAAAATGTATTTTTTTTACTTAATGCGTTCTTTGATTTGTCAATCTCTATTGAAATGTTTGATTAAACATAGACAATTTCAAGTTGTATAGTTTTTAATACAATTAACTAATGTGCTTAAAACATTGTCTCAAGAATATTTATGTGATAAAATGTTGATTAAATGGTTGAGTACAAATTGAACTAGCAAGGACTAGGTTTGTTGAGCCTTAGAAAAAAAAATAACTTATTTAATAGCATGAAAATGTGAACCTTGAATGCTACACTATTAACTTTGAGTATTATGTATCATATCCACTATATGCTAAGATGCACCCCATAATTAGCTAGGTAAAAAAAAAAAAAAATCCATAAAATAAATAAATTTAAGGATTTAATAGCTTTCTGTACTATCAAGTCCAAGTATCATTTTTCTTTCTGTGACAACAAACATTTTGGATCTATTTTTTGAGATTATTAATTAGATTTTAAATAGTTTACCACAGTAGTTCTCAACCGGGGCCTGTATTACTAGCGGTCTATGGTAATATTTTAGTAGTCTATAGAGCAATTTCACTTTGGAACGGTTGTTACAACTGAGAAAATAAACTTATCTATTATTATTAAAAAACTGAAATAAGCCTTTTTGTTATTGATTGGTGGGGGGGGGGCACAAAAAGAAAAAGAAAAGAGTATGAGTGGTCCATGGATAAAAAAAAAGATTGAGAACAACTGGTTTAGCATGATGTTATACCTATTCACATTAAAAATAACTCTTATTTACTACCACAAGCCATCTTGACACAGTGTGTTACTTTTACATCGTCACTACCACAGTTTGCTATTAGTGTATGAATATACTAGCAGTAGAGCCAGGTGTTGCCCGGGGATGTAACAGTAAGAGATAGATCAAGTATCGACCATCATAAAGACTGAAAAATAAAATTGACAAAGATTATTGTTTAAGGTTGATGGACACGCATGTCTTAATTAGTTTTTTTTTTTTTTTACGAATTGGTCAAACCCAAACAAAAACATTGTTTTCAATCGTTATGAGTCTACCAATTGAATAGAATTTTATTATAAACAATTGTCTTGTAAATGGAATTTTTAAAGCATTCTGAATGTAAAAATAAAGAAAAGAGTGTGCAAGACGATAAGAAACACTACCTGCCAAAAAAAAAAAAAAAAAAAAAGTGAAGTTTTGATGAAATCGGTTGAAGAATATAGAAAATCCGATCCCATATAAACAAACACACACAAACAACCTGGGTTTTATAATAAGCATAACTCGATATGAGTTGTCCCTCTTTCATTCTGGTGACAGAATTGTGTTTTATCGTGTTTTAAAATTGATTTCATGCAAAAACAATTGTGTTTTTCCAATTTTTGGCACTGTCAGAACCACCACAAGGTAATTTTACATAGTCCTGTGAAGTTTTGTTGAAATCGGTTGAAAAATGTAGGAAATATGATCCAATATATAAACGTACAGACACACACACACACAATCTGCGTTTTATAATAAGTAAGATTATCGATTATCCATTTGTATTATTACAGTAATTAGCATTGACTAATTTTGTAAAACAAGGAATACCATAAATGCAGTATGGGATAGAAGGTATTTATTACATATGATTGATATGGTACCTAGACTTTATGAATTTAAGTGCAGTACTAGATTGAGAGAAAGGTCTCACCATTTTACAGTTGAAATGTCTCAATGTAACTGTAAGTTCTATGCTAACAGTTTCTTCCCTTGCACTTCTCAATTGTAGAACTTTCTTCCAGCTTCTTACATTCCAGTCAACTTTGACCTTCAGAAATTTAAATGCAATGTCAATCATTATCTTGTTTTCTTAATTCCTGTTTGTTATTGTTCTCTCTCCTTAATGTTTTTCTTTTTCTCATATTCTTTTAGACTCAGGTAATCCCTTGCATCTTAGTGGCTTTATTGCTTTGTTTTTTTTTTTTGGGGGGGGGTGAAATGATTAAAAATAAAACTTCCCTTTGTACCAATTTTAAAACAAGTTTCCCATCTTTGCTTTTAACAATGTAAATTTTTTAAATGGCCACACATTTTAACCTGAGTGAAAAAAAATAAAATCCTGTTTCATTTTGGTAATAAAATTCAAATATATATTACAAACACTAAGTTAATGTTTACCAGACTAGAGATCAAAATCTTACAAAATAAAATAAGCTTCTTAAAAATAATTGAACTTGTATTCCATTTTTAATCTTTGAAATAATAGTAAAGCACACATTGCTTGTAAGTTACAAGACATCATCACTGCAAAATAAGTCTCAACTACAGTATTTTAGAAATGCACATCTCTCATGATCTTTCTAAGTCTACCTCTGCTAACTTTATTTTTGTACTAGGAACATAAACAAGTTAATGAATTTATCATCCTACATTATTTCTTATTGTTATAAACATTATATTTATTGGGTACATGCGTGAGTGAACATCCCAGTATTTTCATTTTAATAGTTAAATTTGTGTGCCCATCAAGAAATCCAAAGTCTTACTCAAAGAAAATCTGCCATCCTGTATTCCCTTTTTAATCTGGGAGCTAAATGTTTCTTAGTATTAGGTTATGAGAAACCATTATGATAAAGGAAAGTTCTTTAAGAAATGCACTCAGATTAATGGTAAATCATTTTTGGTATTGAAGTAGTTTCCCCAGATTGAAAAGAGAATACAGATTTGATTCCTGTTGGGAGATACATTTCTTTAGTGAGACTTTTGATTTCTTTTAAAGAAAAGAAGAAAAGAAGAAAAAAAGAAAGAAGAAAAGAAAGAAAAAAGAAAGAAGAAAAGAAAGAAGAAAAGAAAGGGAGGAAGGGAGAAAGAAAGGAAGGGAGAAAGAAAGAAAGAAAGAAAGAAAGGAAGGGAGAAAGAAAGGAAGGGAGAAAGAAAAGGAAGAAAGAAAGAAAGAAAGGAGAAAGAAAGAAAGAAAGGGAGAAAGAAAGAAAGAAAGGGAGAAAGAAAGAAAGAAAGGGAGGAAGAAAGAAAGAAAGAAAGAAAGAAAAAAAAAAAAAAGAAAGAAAGAAAAAAGAAAGAAAGAAAGGGAGAAAGGGAGAAAGAAAGAAAGGGAGAAAGAAAGGGAGAAAGAAAGAAAGAAAGAAAGAAAGAAAGAAAGAAAGAAAGAAAGAAAGGGAGAAAGAAAGAAAGGGAGAAAGAAAGAAAGGGAGAAAGAAAGAAAGGAAGAAAGAAAGAAAGAAAGAAAGAAAGAAAGAAAGAAAGAAAGGGAGAAAGAAAGAAAGGGAGAAAGAAAGAAAGGGAGAAAGAAAGAAAGGGAGAAAGAAAGAAAGGGAGAAAGAAAGAAAGAAGGAGAAAGAAAGAAAGAAGGAGAAAGAAAGAAAGAAGGAGAAAGAAAGAAAGAAGGAGAAAGAAAGAAGGAGAAAGAAAGAAGGAGAAAGAAAGAAGGAGAAAGAAAGAAGGAGAAAGAAAGAAAAGAAAGAAGGAGAAAGAAAGAAGGAGAAAGAAAGAAAGAAAGAAAGAAAGGAGAAAGAAAGAAGGAGAAAGAAAGAAAGAAAGAAAGGAAGGGAGAAAGAAAGAAAGGAAGGAAGAAAGGAAGGAAGAAAGGAAGGAAGAAAGGAAGGAAGAAAGGAAAGGAGAAAAGAAGAAAACTGATTACCTATTGAGGTCATATGCTCGTACAGTACCATCAAGAGAACAGGAAATAATCACCTGACCACGCTGATTAAATTTCACACCTGTAATTCCTGCAGTGTGTTCACTGAAAGTCACAAAGCAAAAGCCATTGCTTGTATTCCAAACTTTTACCTAAGAAAGAAAAATTAAAGTAAAAAAATATAAACACAAAAATATCCCAGTCCCCAGAAAAGTAAAAAGATAACAAAGGAACCTCTTCTCACATTCAAATGATTTAAACGAAAATTCTTAAATAAGTTTGTTTACTTTGAGGTGAATAGAGTGACGACAAAGTATTTTATAACAAAATATTGGAGCTTATGGAGAGTAAAAAGAAGATTGTGTTGACAGTCTAACTTGAATTTTCAAACTATGTCATTTCACTGAGATCTGATCATGCTCAATGTAGCTTAACTTTACGGATCTAATGATATTTCTAAGTAATATATTTGGCAATTTGGTTTGAGCAAAGTGGGACATGGCTGGAATGACCATAGAATACATCTTTCAAATTTGAGTAACAAAAAGAAAACAACACATATGACCAACTAAGTACATGCTATTAGGTACTGACTTGGATCTGATCAGGGAATGTGTGAGAGAGAGAGAGAGAAAAAAAAAAAAAATCAGTATTTGTTCAGAGGCTGTTTTTCCTTTTCTTTTTGTATAAGTCAGAAATGGTCAAACAATCTGAACCAAGGAAACTTATCTTTTGTTCAACCTTTCTCTCTATACTTTGTAGACAAAGAGAAAGCTTTCAACCATTGAAATTGTGTTTCTTCTACTACTACTACTACTACTACTACTATTACCACCACCACAATTGGGACATTCTCATCAATTACACTCAAGAAAATTACAAAATTACAATGAAAATAAATAAGAAACAATCATAAAAAGGTGTTGGGAAGAAATCTGTGACTTATGTTCAGGTGACTACCAACCTTTGCATCATCTCCGCCTGTGACCATGTAATGCCCATCTGGGGAATACTCAAGACAGGTCATGTTGCTAAAGTGACCTTGCTGTTTCAAAATGTATGTCTCACTCTGCCATTCCCAAACTAAAAGCTGCCCTAGACCACAACATCCCATGGCAATCCAGTCACCTCCTTTATTGAATTCAACAGAACCAATAATTTGATCAGAAATGCTGTCAAAAGAAAAAAAAAAGTGATATTAGTAATAATAACACTTACTTCATGTATGTTTTAGCATTACATCATAGAAAAACTTAGCAGTGTCTATAAAAGAAAAAATATCTGGATAAATGACTAGAAATTAATTTTGTAGAAAACTGACAATTTATACAAATTATTTTCTATCTTGAATTGATAAATGAAGATGCTAAGTATTGTCAATATTTCCATAAACAAAGATTCTTTTACATTTCCTATATGGTAACAGAAATATTAGCAGTTTTCTTATAAAGAAACATTTGGCTTTCATTGACAGAGCAGTCAGTGCCATTGTTGGTTGAAAAATATAAAACATTTCTCTTAAAGCAATTTTTCAGGAAAACAGATTTCTCAAGTCCAGTAGCTGGTGTCACTCTTTCCATTACTGATGGGAGTTTCCTTCCTAACCTTTTGTTTGAAGTAGTATAGATTGTCAACATCTAGATTATCTTATTTTCTTGTCAACTTACAGGTGCTATCCATTTTAGTTTTTACTGTTGTTGCAGGTCCTCAAGTGATGAGGTTTCTTTTATTTGATACAATTCTGTGATTCTGTAGTGCCAGTCCACGATGTTCAAAGAAGGATAGTCCTTGCTCAGACCTACAGGGTTTATTCGCTCAAAGCCATTTTTAACTATTGGTCTGAGTAAGTATTTTGTATAATAAAAGGATGTGCAGGTAGTGTAACAGTTATTCATGTGAAAAGTGAAATCAGTGAGTAGAGATCAGATTCTGACCAGCTGTTACTCTCACATTATTACCTCTGGGAATGGCATGAATCCATCTCGTCTCCCACTAACTATATTTTAAATAACAGAATAGACTAGGCACCTCTAGCTCTGGGTGGCAGCATATCTTCCTAGGACTACTCTGAATCCAAAGTCACAGAGAAGGCAATGGGAAACCACTCTACTATATTTGCCAAGAAGTCATAGAAATTCATATACAGTAATACATCGGCTTAAGTCATTTTGAGTTAAGTCATTTTTGAAGATATGTAAGTTTTTCTTAAATATTACGATATAACCTCCTCCAACAACAGCCCCAATGAGAAACATCAACGTCATGCATCTGGTAAATTTAAAATTGGTGTTTGCTTAAATTTTTTTTTTTCAGAATATTGTACGTACATATAAATACTATAATAGGCAAAGGGTATTGCTTATTTGTGGCTTATAGTGTGGTTATTTTGACCTAAGTTATGACCCTAGAACCAATAAACAACGTAGAGTGAGGTACATTAAAAGAACAAGCAATCTGCAGAGATCAACCACATCCTGAAGAAACATGATATATTTAAGAAAAAAGATAATAATGTTAATTGATTGGAGGTGTTAACATGTACAGGTTTTGTCTTGGCGAATCAAAATGAGCGACAGTAAATATCCCATTCGGTACGACAGAGTTACTTGTCAGTCAGCTGACCATAACCAGTTAGGCATAGTCTCTATAGACTGACACATTGTACATCTCTGTTTATGAACAGGAGTACTATCATGGTCGCTTGTCATGAAGTTTGAAGGCATTGAAGGTAACTTGAGAGTCACAACTTGATATTTTGGAACACCTTCAATTGGAGACTGCCTGAAAAGACTAGGTTATCCAACTTGAAAGCATTTCTAATTGCGAGGCTGGGTGTTTTATTTATTTATTTATTTTTTATCAATTCATCCCAAGCAAGACAATGATGCCACTAAGATGCAAGGGACTACTGGGAGTGAAAGACAATCGAAACTCGTTCTTAAACAGAAAATAAAGGATAATCTGTTTGAAAGATTTGAGAGGAGTATGAACTGGATGATAGGCAATTCTATCTATTCCTATTTAGGAAAAAAAAAAAAAAATTTCAGAGTTGGGGCGAAGACATTAGAATTACAGAGTTGAAATGAATTTAGAATGAACTGCAAATCCAATCCTAAACAGTAAACAAAAGAAACCTCTACTACTGTTTAAAAGATGTATTAGGCATGTGAACAAGACAATAGGTGAACCTAGCTACTCCTATTCTGAACACATCTACTTCTTTCATGAAAACCTGTCACCCTTCAGTGCACATTTGCCTGTGATGCATGTGCCTGGTATACATTTATCAGACAAGGTGTCATGATGAGTATATTGGACTTAATATATTTGTATCTCATCATCACTTTATTGGGATGCTACTCTCTCACTAAACAATAATAGTAATAATAAATTATAATTACTTCAAGTATAGTACAACTTCAATGTACGGCTTTACATTTGTTCTAATAACTTTTATGAAGTCCAAAAATGTAATTGTTGAAGAAGCCCTTAATAGAACTGACAAGATTTAAAAATAATTTCAACTTTTTAAATTTCAGATAAAATATAAATAAAGAAGAATGAATATAATTAGAAAACAACTATAAATAAATATGCAGAAAAACACAAAAATTATTTTACATTGCTTACAAAAATTGATACACTACCACTTGTTAAACAGGATCCTCAACTGATAATTCACAATCATGAAATTCATGTACGTGGGTTTTAAACAATACTAAAATATGGGCACATTCACATTTATTATTTATTTATAAATGTAAAAACATTGTTTAAAATGAAGATACTATTTTATAGCAGTATTAAAAATACAATAATAAATATTCAAACTACACATGAATAGTGTTTGCAATGATAACTGTGCATTTGTGTATGTCTACAAAACAGTAATTTATAGCAGTGTGCGGTTTCATATCAGGTTCACCATTCAGAAACTGTGATCATGGTATTTTAGGAGATAAACACTTACACATCAATTGTCCTATTTTTAAGTTTTCAGGTTGATTAGAGAGAAGTTGAACATATCTATACAAGACACACACAAATTACCAATGTATAAATATAGTCTACAGAAAACATCAGGAAAAACTATGTAAAAATGTATATTGAAAAACCAAATCAACCCCTCAGCTCAAATATTTCATTAACCCATTAGCATTCAACATTTCCTTTTACACTTATCCACGAGATATACATACAGTATAAAATATTGCCAAGGAGTTTATTGAATTGGGACTCATTCTTACAGCTTGTTCAGCAGTATATCTATCAGTCTTAAGACAGAATTCACCAACTTAAACAAGGAGACCATCTAGACGAAAATTTATCCATCGCACCCTGTACAATGCAGACTGGTACATGTGAAGTATCTATTGGTTTACACACATACAGCTTAAGCCAGCAGTAATGGACTAGTTAATGCTTCTTAAAGCATCGTTGGTGTTACAAGGAGTTTTGTTGGTCTCTCGCTCAACTGCACACCACACATCATAATCAAAGGGATTGCAGTCTGGTGTAGACTCCTGTGTGGGTGCTTTTCTGAACACTTCAATCTTGACCTCTTCAAGTCATGGGGCAATTGTAATCTTTCCTTGTCATCTTCACTTCTATTCATATCACATATCTCATTACCATTTTTACTGTAATCATCTACCTTCAGTGGTCTTGGTTGATTGATTGATACATTTTCTATGGCTTATCAACCCTTTACAAGTTATTTAAAGCCCCAAAATAGTTTTTAGATTGTAAGAATTTTTTTTGAAGGTGGGTGAATAATAATGATAATTGTTTAGTGATACAAGTCTTACTAATTAACCCAAAGTCGAGGGAAAGAACAGATAGGTTCATACCTTTTCCCAAGGATATTTGCACATAAATGAATATAATGAACCCAATGGGAATTGGAACTCAGCTCTCCAATTAAGAATTCCTGAGCCATTATCCATTACACCACCCACACATCCAAGCTTACAGCACCCAGTATTCCCAAGCAGTCACCCTTCTAGGTAATGAGCAGGCTCAGTGTTGCTTAACTTCAGTGATCATATGGAAAAGTGGATTTGTGGCTAGTACTGGGTTAAGAAAAAAAAAGTGATGACTTGTTATTTATATTTTCTTTTTAATATAATTGTCACAAAAAGTGACCCCTGACACACACAATAAAGTATACCAAATGATGTAAAGATTGACTTTTTTACTAAATAATAATATCCCAAAAATAATGAATTATACTTGTGCATGTTTCACTAATGATAGACTAATGACTTAAAACAGCATTTCAGAATTTTCAGTGTTAATTAGTGTTAATCTTATGGACAATTATGTCAGAAGCATTAACTGGTCCATTACTGCTGGCTTAAGCTGTATGTGTGTAAACCAATAGATACTTTACATGTACCAGTCTGCATTGTACAGAGTGCGATGGATAAATTGTCGTCTAAATTACATGAAAATGAAAATAACTTTCTCATTTTAACAGATATATTTACCAAAATTACACAAAAGTATCTTGAAATACTAAAGTAAATTTATTCAATAAAATCGCCACTGGCTTCAACCACACACCCACCAGACAACTTCAGAATCTCCTGCAACTCTTCTAGATGGTCTCCTTGTTTAAGTTGGTGAATTCTGTCATAATCCTTGCCTACAGTTTCTCGTTGGTGTTACAAGGAGTTTTGTTGGTCTCTCGCTCAACTGCACACCAAACATCATAATCAAAAGGATTGCAGTCTGGGGAGTTAGGTGGCCAAATGTAAGGGGTGATGTGGTCACAGAAATGACTGAGTTCTCTTGCTTGTGTGGCATGGTTCAGAGTATAGGGTCTTTGAGTAGCCACCCTCTTGACCCAGGGCAGCACTACCTCCTGTAGGCACTTGATGTAAGCCTCTGTGTTGAGCGAGACCCTCACCAACAAATTAGGGAGTTCTTAGAACAATCAGAGCAAGTTTTCCGAACTGCTGTATCATTGTAATCACCATTAAACTCATCCAACTCTTCCTGAATCCTCTGTACTGTCCTCAGATTGACATCTGAACACCCTGAAATGTTCATATTTGAGTTTCTGGCATGAAGGCCAAGCAGTACAACATGCTGTTTCCAAATTTCTGGTGAAGTGAATTGCGTCATGGTACTCTTTTTTTTCACAGAGTACTAAGACACTGTGCCCAACTGACTCTACTCTGCAGTCATCAAAAGCAAAAATAAACACATATGCACAAAATTAAGAATATAAAATATTACCCATTGCACCCTGTACAATCTGACCTCTAAAGTTCCATAGACTTGCTGGACTATCAGATGTCATGAGTTCAGATTATGTGGTAGAAACAAAACACATATGATTCAACCCACCCTGTAAATATCAGCTCTCAATTTTCAACCCATTCTCATATATATATATATATATATATATATATATATATATATATATATATGACGACATCGTCACAAATAATGCAAGTAGTCGTGCAAACAGTGTGACTTTGAGAGTTGATATTTACAGGGTGGGTTTGAGCATGTTAAATGCTAAAGGGTTAATATAACTGGTAAATTAAAATGTGAATAAGGCATTTGGATTTTTTTTTTTCAAATAAAAAAGGTGATTAGGCTACAGGATTTGAATTTGTAATTGAATATCATATTGTTTATATTACTGTATCAAACAACTTCTGAATTTCCTTTTAGAAACGTTTTATTTTTCAAGACTCAGCTTCTAAATGCAGTCCAAAGATGGTAAGAATAATGTCATCATTGAAGTAAGTAATGTGACCCTTTATCAGTAAAGGACATGATAATTATTTAAAAAGCATGTGACTAATTTCAATTACATCCACGTGTAAAACTTTACCTTAATGAATGAATAAGATTACAATATGGCATTTCATGTATGAAGAAGCATCCATCTTCAAAGCCAGTGACCATCAACTTTGTTTCTTTATTATACACTGCACTGGTCAGTCGTTTAATAACATTTTCATTAGTCTTCTCTCGGGATTTTTTCAAATTGTATCTGCAAAATAAAAAGGAATAAAAAATTAAACTGGAATATAGGTTTCAGGCTAAGTTCAGACGGAAACACTTTCTATATCAGCATAGAGATATATCAAGTGATTATATACTAAATGTATCAGTTCTAAACTATAATTGGGGTGTTGAAAGGTTTTGAACTGATACACTGCCTGAATGACTAAATATTAGAAATTTCCTTGGAGTTTCTTAGCTAAACTAAAAACTTTTCAGATCCATTGCTAAAAATACAGGAAAAATAGTTTGTTCCCTGTACCACTCCAGTAAGTACCTGACTACTTGTGCTACGCTCTACCTTTACAAGAGCTTGATCAGGCCTAAAATGGAGTACTGTTGTCATATTTGGGTAAGAGCTGCCCAGTCCTCATTTTCTAGTCTCAATAAAGTTCAAAAGCATCTCATAGTTCTTGTGGGCGACAAATTATTTTCCACCCTCCCTCTCACAGATGGGATGTGGCAAATCACTCACTGCTGTATTGTTACTTCCAGGCAAAGCGCCTGGATGAAGTGCATTCCTTGGTTTTGCTTGGTTCTAACCTTCACGGCTAGCAAACAAACCTTATTCCCTCTGTATTCCATGGTAAGTTCCACTCAAACAGCTTCTTCCTGTGAACCACTGCTCTGTGGAACTGACTACCCACATGATGTTTCTCCTGACCACTACAACCTTAACCTGTTCAAGTTAAGGGTTAACCATTATCTTTTGCACCTATCTGTATCTTACTCTGTAACCCTCTACCTCAATTAGCTCCAGTGCATAGTACAGAGTAAACCTCACTGTATAAAAAAAAAAAAAAACATACTTGTATGTTTGCTTTCCAGAAACCCTTGCTCAAGTTGTGTAACTCATTGTACAAAGTATACAATGTATAACGGTAGATCTATATTCTCTTCCCCTGATAACCACAGTTAAAAAAACAAAGTAATTACTTAAAAGTAGGTTGTGATGATAAAATGATTTTTTAAATAATTTCAGTTATAAACATAATTTACTATGATCCAAATAGTATACTAAGACATGAGACAATGAAAACAGAATATCATCTAATGAGGACAATGTCGTGGGTGGGGTTAGGGTCTGTCAGAAGAGTCCTAAGTCAAAGCAACTACTCAAAATACCCAAACAAGAATTTTGTTGGGAAATGGCTTCCTGGTCAAGCTGAGAAGTGTGTGTGTGTGTGTGTGTGTGTGTGTGTGTGTGTGTGTGTGTAATAAATTTGTCATTTACATCAGCCATTTTTTTTCCCGGCACACTACAAGAACTAGACCTTCTCCAAGTCTGTCAGACATGAAGAGTAATGGGCCTTACTCTGCCAATGATGTGTTGGAAAGTTGATTTGTATTCAGAATTTATTTTCTCCTAGATTGGCTGTCATTCCCAAACTAAAGAGCCCAACCTGTGCTTCTGTTTAACTTGTGGCTAAGAAGAGAATTGAATTCATATCATTCTCAGTGAAATGAAAACAATGGGCTTGACTGGAATTTGAACTCTGCCTACAGATTCCACTGTCTGTGCCACTAACCACTACTACACACACACAAACACACACACATTAATCTGTGCATTACAGATACATTTTTATTAAAATCCTTGGATAAGCAGCTTTAAATACTGTAAATTTGAACTTTAATTAGCAAAACAAGCAGAACTGAGTAAATCTTATTTATTTATCAGAAAACTACTATTTTAACTCTAACAATATGGATTTTGGTGAATGGTAAATGACCACTTTACCAATGTATTTGTAATTTGGTCTGTATCCTCAGTTCTTCCAATTTATCATGTTATGCCTATTCAGTAGACAAACTTGGCCTATTGCTGCAAAATTAGGAGGAGGCACTTTTACAGCCACTTGACCACTATGACCTAATAGCTGAAATGAATCCTTAAATTAGTTACTGATAAGTGTACAGTGATACCTTGGCTTAAGTAGTTTCAAATTAAGCCATTTTCGAAGATACAGTGGTCTTTCTTAAATATTATATGAAAAAATAAATCTTGCCTTAGGTCAATTTTACTCAAGTTGATGTCTGCCATTAAAAATATTAGAAACATCAAAACACTAAAATAACAATAAACATATAAAATCAAATTTAAATAAATCTAAAAACAATATTATGTATACAATATATCATAAAATCATCAAAAACAAAAAAATTGCCATAATTAGGTATGTTCAGCAGAAGTAGATGTTCTCATTTCAAATTCCTGCTGACAGGCGGCACTCGTGTTGTTTTTCACTCCAACACTGATTTTGAATTCAGACTTATTTACATCTGTGCTCTGCCATTGATGTTCTTTCAATTATATTTCAATTGTGATTTAGAATACATTTTTGCCCATGGCTCTGAAGAAAAGTCCCAGTGCAAGTGCTAATGCTAAGAATGAGATTATATCACTGGAAGATAAGGTGGAAATTAATTATTTTATTCAGAATACTGTATGTACATATACTGTAATAGGCAATGGGGAGTGCTTATTTGCAGTTTATAGTGTTGCTATTTTCACTAAGTCATGACCTCTGGAACTAATTAACGATGTAGTGTGAAGTATACCTGTATATTTCAATCTCAAACTTATAATGAAAATACAGTGATGACTTATTAAAAATGAAATTTTAAGCAACAAACTAAATTAGTTCAATAGCATTAGCCAGAATTAGTTTTGGGTAATTTGTTAAAATTTATTGAAATTCTTAAGTGGCCCAAAATATTTTCTTTGTATACATACAATGAAGACAATGAAGAGGATTGATTAATCACTGGAATTTCCCACTGAATATGTTGGCATACCAGAAAATTCAAAGCAATTTAAAAATTCTGTAGGGTATTGCATAGCCTGTCATCATCCAAAGTTGAATCCACAGAACAGAAAGAACCTGGAATTTTAATGAGCAATTGTTGATAACATGCACCAAGTCGTTTTTAGAATTCAGTTTTCTGCTATATTTGAGTACACCTTGTTCCTCAGTTCTTCAACTGAAGAAACAATTGATGCTAATCTTGGAGGAATTACAATGGCTACTCTGAGGTCCTTTTAATGATTCTTAATATATAGAAGCCTCTCCTGCTCTATTTGGCATACATATCGACTATGTACTGGTGGAATAAATTCTTACATTAATGTTATAAGTCCCTTCATGCACCATTAACCTAGATGCATAGAAATTGTTAGAAGATCACCCCCCACCCCCGGCTATTAACAATTGTTTGGTTTGAGGACTTGTTTATCAGACCTTGAAATTATATCCTTCTTGATCTTCTCAGTGAATGATTGGGTACTGCAAGGCATCAAATGACTGATTTGTTTCTAATATGTGCTGAAGTTGATTGTTTTGTAGATGTAAAATGATGTCATGATGATGCTCAACGATTACAATGACAACCTCCAGTGTTTGTGGAACATTATAGTGCCGTTCATACTCTCCTCTAGGAATTCTACTGGTATGGATAACCACTTTAAAATCTTCACCTCAAGCATGATCCATAGCCATCTTGAACTCTGACATATTTATTCTCTCAGTGAAGAATATTTTGGAGGTCAAGAACAATACTTAACTTTGTATTCTTGATACTGTTACATCTAATTGATGCTTGTTGCTGTTCATCACCAAGAAAATAAATTTGAAGAAACTTAGGAGTTTCACCTTTAATGAGTAGCAAGGAACCCACTATGACAAACCTGTCCACAAAACTTAAATGTAGGCATATAGCCAACCTAGTGTATTTCTTTTGTGCCAAAGCTGGTCACTGGTTGTAAATTTGGTTTGTTTTACAGCATATCAACCTCAATGGGTTATTTAATACTGACAAAATTTTTATTTCTGGTAATATTTTTTTTCAAAAAAGTACAGCAGATAATTTTTTTTTCCCCCCAGAAATGTATAGCTGATAATATCTTTTGTTTTCAAAAATGTATTGCTGGTAATAATTTTTTTTACAGAGTATTTCTGGAAATAAAACCTATTTACATGTTCATAGTGTTTTAACCCCAGTTTCAGGGTTAACTATTTGCCCATAGCTGGGACCCTAACAGGTGTTACCACCCCGGATCAGCGTGGACCTGGGAACACCAGCAATTAAGAGGTGGTTCCACACTACTCAAAACCTCCAGATCAGAGGCCTTGCTGTTGGACGTAGTTTATCATCTTAACCAGGATGCGGATGTAGTTTATCGTCATACCCAGGACAGTTGTAAATTCGAATGTTAAAAAAAAAAAAATGTAACAAATTGGGCAAAGTGTTACCTAGAAAAGATTTTAACAGTCCTGGAGATGTCGCTAAATCTGGCAGAAGAACTTTTCCACCAGAACACAACATACCATCATATTCTCTCACCCATTTTTTGGCTCCACATTTGGTACATGTTATTCCATTGCTCACAGTACCTATTTGCAACTCTACATAATCATAATCAGGCTGAGAGTCATAATTGAATCTTTCATTTAACCAAAATTGGTGATGTGCCCCAACGCAGTCGGCATCTCACCGTTCTTGTGACTATTCAGCTGTCTTGATGACTCATCAGTGACGTGCCCTGAAACATCCCGCCATTCCTGTGAAAGTGCAAGAAACCTTTCTTGATCTTATTCATTGCTTTCATTTTGAAATTTTCTTTTATGTCCAGTTTGTTTGTGATTATAATGGCCAAGTGAGGACTTTTTGGGAGACATAGTGACAATTTGTAACTCAAAGTTATTTAGAATTTTTGGTAATGTATGAAAAATTATATATATATATATATATATATATATAAAAAAAAAAAGAAAATGAAATACTTGTGAGAAGGTCCTACAAAATCTTTGAAGTGTAATAATGAAAAATATGTTATATTGATGTTATCACTTTCACTGAGTTATTGCTTTGAATTTAAGAATGAAAATAAAGCAAATAAACCTGAAATAAAATAAAAACTGGTAGACTTGCAAACTTTAAAGGTTTGCAATATGCTGAAACTGAATACTGTCTGGAAAGATTTAAATTTGATAAAAATCTAGAAATTTTACTAAAAACGTATATCAATTATAATGATTGCAATAAACCAAAAATTGGGAAAAGGTGTGAAACATGAAAAATAAAAAAAAAATGTGATGTATAGCAATGAAAGTTATTTCTTAGCTGAATATTTTTAGAAAACAGTAAATCTAAAAATAAAAAATAAAAATAAAATAAATGTTAAATTTTTCCACTTAGCAAAGAATTTAGTTTTGAATTAAAAAAAAAAAAATTCAACAAACTTATGTTTGTTCATATGCTTTTGTCAGATAAGAAAATAAAGGGTAAGTAAAAGCATTGTTAGCTATGAATTTTTTGTTCCAGAAGCTAGGAAATAAATTTACATTTTTTAAATATATTTTTTTTCTGGTGTCAATAAAAATTCAATAAATAAACAAAAGCAAAGTTTATTTTATTCACATTTTATTTATGAACTGAATTATGTGTGCCCACCCTTCAATAATTAATGCACTGTCTGCTGGTCAGACAGACAAATCAACTTTTCACTTTATATTATAGATTGATGAAATTTGAGAATTAGAGAGAAAATGTGTTTCTTATATTCTATCAAATACAGTATCTACTTTTAATTCGTAAAATGCAAGATCAAATGTTAACAAAAGGAGTCCATCATTTATCAGCCATTAAGATCTAACATTAACATTAAAAAAAAAAAAAAAATTATATATATTTTTTTTCAAAAAAAAAAAAAATAAAAAAAAGCAAACACACCTTTGAGCCTTTTTATACAGTATTTTGTTTTTTACTGCTGCTTCTTCTTCATCCTGTTTTTGTCGTGCATTTGATTCTAAGAAACAAAAAAAAAATAAATAAAATAAATCTAACAATATTAAGAAGAATGGGATTAATGTGCCAATTGCTTAGAGTTTTTTGTTTTTTTTTAAATAATAAAAAAAAGATTTACTATTACATTACTATGTCTAGACACACATATTGAATATATTAAGGAGTAATAATAATTTTATTTTTCTAGCTTGATCGGGTATTTTGAGTTTATAAGGTGCATTCAAAAATATTTGACCTTTGGTATACAAGAAAAAATTTTTTTTACATATCACAATTTCATTTAATTGCCTTCAAAATACTCCTCTTGGGAGTTCACACATTCTCTCAGCGGCTCTGCCACTGTTGGTAACACCTTGGGAATGCCATCTCTGGAGTGCTATGGCACTGTCATCACTTTTTTCATAATTTCCTCTTACAACTCAAATCACTTCCCTCTCAGTGTGGTGTTCAGCTTGGGGAAAAGCCAGAAGTCACACGGTGCCAAGCTGGAAGAGACTAAGGAGCCTGTTGAACAAGTGTTTTGTTAATCGAGAAAGCTTGGATTATGTGGCTGGAATGAGCAGCAAATTTTGCTGACACCCTCCACATACCAAAATTCTTTCTTAAAAGGAATGCACCAATCATGTGCTTATTCCCACTTTGTGAGCAATTTTCTGGATCGTTACACAACTGCCTTCCATGACTATTCACCAAACCTTCTCTCTTGTTCCTTGTTTTGGTTTGTGGATGACCTAAGGTGTGGCCATGTTTGAAATGGTTGTACTGCTCCTTGATCAAAGTTTTGCCCATGGCACCAAAGCCAAAGGCCTGTTGAATCTTCTGGATGCTTGAGTATCACCAAGATTTTAGTAAAGCTTGATGCAATATCTCTGCTCAATGCATTCAGTCATCTTGCACGAAAACAAAAGCTCTGGTGAGTGGCTGTTATATGCTTGTACTCTAGGAGTAACAGCTAGGAACTGACAGTCTACCAGTGCAAAAATTTTCATGTATGTACAGGAAGAGTAGTGTCACTTTTCACCCAAAGTATTTTGTTGACACAGCATTAGTTTTGGTGGGAAAAAAAATAAATTCTGATACTTTTTGAACACCTCATATATGTATAGAAAAAAAAACCCATTTAAGCTGTTTTTTTGACAGAGTTTGAAAATTTGAACAAAGTTTGAATAGCAGCTTTGGCTTTCATCAACCAATTATCAAAAGAATATGTTGCATGTTTATAATGTTGTGTCCATAGGCATCTATTGTTTCTTTGGTGGCTTTTGCATAGTACATTTTTTTTTTGTCAGTTTTTCAAACATTACACTAGTTTTGTTACTACTTGTCCACTTTTTATTTTAGGTACATTTTAAATTAGTCACAGTTTTTGACCACTTTCTCTTAACCCTTAGCTATTAATGAAAATGGCACAATTTTGTTTGTTTTTTTTTTTATTATTTATAGTGGTGAAACAAATTTTTAAAATATAGCATTATGAATGATTAATTTTCTTTTCCCTGATAAGTAAAACTTAGAATATATCAGAAATTCTAGCTTCATTAAACAAACCATGTAGAAAAATATTAACATTAATTTTTTTAATGTGCTGTGATTTTTTTTTTTTTTAACACTTGCTTCTATTTAAATATAAATAGGAAAAAATACTAATAAAGTGAATGCAGAGGAGATTTGATGTCATGGAAAAAAGGTGCTAAAATTTCCATAGCCAATTTTCTTACACTGTTGATGCATTAAAAAAGAAAATAGAAAAGAAAAAAAAAAGATTTTTAACCAAAATTTTGAAATAGAAAGAATTTGAAAAAAAATTAAATATTTTGGTCTTTCTTCTTAATAATAGCATAAACATTTTGAGGATAAGACTTTGTTTTTTATTAGGTTTGGGGTCATTTTTCATCATGCTGTTTTCTAGCTAAAAAAAGTGTCGGTTCCTATTTAAAACCTTTTCTCTTTGCATTGATCTCCTTTAATATCTTGTCATTATTTGAACATTTATTTAACGTAGCCATCTTTGTATACATTTATTTTACAACTGTATCTCCCCATGTAGAACCTCTTTCACCATGAATTGACTGATTACAGTGTTCCTGAACTATAACTTTCTTCCTTTCTGAGAACTTATCACTGCAAATTTTATACATATTCATATAAGCGAACTATTTGCTACCTCTTTTACACATTTAGACCCAGAGTCTTACTGCTTTGTCCAGCCTCTGCTGCCTTTGTCATATTATTTTTTCCTTTCCCTTTTACCTTGCTATTCACTCAAGTTTGTACATCTTTCTTTCTCTAGTTTCACTCTTTAGGTTTCTAATAAATGTGCTGATGAACAGGACTGTCTTCATGTCTTCAGAGTTTTGATTGCTGTAAGGCATTTATCTGGCTGTCTGAAAGAGACATGTACTGAGAGGCAGAACAGTATTTTCTGTCTATATTTTTGAGATGAGGCATTGTAATTGTTTATAATATTCAGACTGTTGTTGGAAATGGCTGAAATGTCATGAACATGACAAAGATGAGGACAACAGTCCAAACAATGTGAATAATGTAAATAAGGAAAGCACTTAATGTCATTTTTTTTTTTCTAAATATTTGTTCTGAAATTAAATTAAATTTTATCGATGCCATTTTTTAATTTTATTTTTAATGATTAAAGCTTCTAACATTAGTAGTTATTTTATATAATTTATAATTGTAACGCAATTGAAGCCTGCCATTGTTTAGACCACCTATGAAATGGACTCTGAATTATTTATTCTGGGCCAGGTTTTAAGACTGTGTAGATTAAGTGTGGGTTGCATGATCTATGGCTCATCACAAGGCGGCCTGCACCACTAAAAAGTTTCAAGGTAATTTTTCGTAGTAGGTACCTCAGTTATTTTCACTAAGACTATATGGATAAGTTTTAGTATAATGTCACTGATAACAGGATGATTAACACAGGTCACTGTGTTTGATTTATTTCTAATTTAGTCATTTGAAAATAAAAACATTTCTTCCTTAGAGAAAAAAATTATTATGAAGGGTTCCCCATTTCAAAAGCAAAAGATATTTACATTTACAATGTTCCTTAGTGAAAAATGGTTTAAAATGATGAAAGCTTATTTTCATCTTTGTTTATGTATGTTGTTATGTATGTGAGAGTCTGTGAGTGAACAAGTGAGAAAGAAAAAAAATGTAAGAAATGTTATTTTCCTTAGGAAATTATGCATGCCATTCAGAAAGGCCAAATGGGCCAGTTTTCCTGTGACTGGCAGTCTAAAAGTATGTTCTTCAAAAGGCCATCTGCTGTTCAAAAATAGATAGAAGGGAAGTGAAACAAATAAAGAAAAACTTTCAGGTTCAAATGAGTCAGAGTTAGAATATTCAGTTTTTGAAGATGGCAGCTCTCAGGTCATCAGTGGAGATGTAGAGAGGTAAAGTTGGGAGCTGTGTACAGTGATGTAAAGAGGGGTGGTAGGAGAAAGCTAATGTTCTTGCTGGAAGTAGGGCGACAATCTGGTCCATCATGAGAAAAGACAGACGTAGCAATGCCATTGTCCCAAATGTCACCTCCCTTCCCAGATTGAATTAAATGAGTCCATGAATATTCCAAATATACTGGAAACAGGATTTGTATTTTCATTTCTCACTATGGCATTATTTCACCTTTCATTCCTTTGTTAACATATAACAGGTCTTTTCCTATTTTTGTGTACACCTACACAAACTAGAATAGAAGCACAACATTGTGTGATTTGTCCAGTTTGTAAAAGACTGTTTGAGAGTCACTGTACATTTACAATATGGTAGATTCATTTTGTACTATCAATAAGTATTTGTCAAATTACTTTTTTTGTTATTGTGATGAGTGGCAATGTACAATTTAATGAGTCTATTGGATAAATGGCAAGTTAATTAAAGGGATAATGTGATTGTGTAACCAATATATATGGGGCTTGAATTTTCATTATGTAATATCTTTTTTGACAAAATTCTTGTCCAGCATTTACTGAGGTCTTGGTTAATGGTGAGTTTTGTTTGTGCTGTTTTATCGGTTCTCTATAACTTCAACTTTTATTAAATTTGGTAAGTTTGGATGTTCTTGTATTTGGTTTGTAACATTTAAATTTTTTGATACAAATGTTTAATTTATATAAGTTTCTACAAATCTTTTACAATTTAATTGAAAAATAAAACTACTCAAAGCAATTGCAATTGGTTTTCACTAGAACTGAATTACATGAATTCTAAAGATTGAAAAAAATAACTTCTTCCAAATTTGGGAATATTTCGGACTTACCGTCTAAACGAGATTTCTTAGAGGATTCTTTACCACCTTCTCCTACCTCTTCAATTTCAGTGGCATTAAATTCCTTCTTCTTCTTGAATGGCTCCAAACCATCCAATTGTGTATTGCAGCGCCATAAATTAAGGACACCATTAGCAGCTACACTGTACAACTGAACAACATTAAGGGCAATAAGCAATAAGGGGGTGGGGGAAGAAGAAAAGTTGACTGAACTTCATATGGCTCCTGACATATATATACACACAAAAAAAAAAAAAAAAAAAAAAAATTAGTAACTATATGGGTCATCACAAATTTTCTTTGTACAAACTAGCATTTGCATTTAAAAGGTAAAAAATTTATCATTCACTATTAATGAATCAGGAAAAGCAATATATATGTATATATAAAAAACATTACTCATATATATATATATATATATATATATATATATATATATATATATAAATAAATAAATAGTTATACTTGTCTGGAAAAACCTTAGGTGTTTTTGGTTTGTAAGTGAACAAACCAATTCCCAAGGAAAAATAAGGGATAAAAAAAAAGAAGGAACTAAGAATATATAATTGAGGCGAAAACAATCGTCCAGAATCCAAGCTCAGAGTACAAAAAAACCCCACCAAAACGAGTAAAGCAAAAGTAACCAAGTAAAGTGCTCAATATGCTAAGTAGAGCAAATCTATGAACCTAAAGAGCCAGGTAAACCTACCAAGGTTTCACCTACACAAATCGTCAGGGTGCACCCTGACAATCCGTGTGAAACCTATTGAAACCTATATATATATATATATATATATATACACACACACACACACACACACACACGTAAAATGAGAATAAATGGAGTACAATTCCACTAATTGTTCACTTGCCAGTAGTCTAACATCGCTTAAGGAGACACATTTGTAGTGTTGAAACATAATTGTAATTATGTAGCGATTTTTAAAAATGTTTTTGTTTTAATATCGTAAAATAAATAATAATGATAATAATTTTATATATATATATATATAAATAAATAATGATTAATACAAATATAAAATTTTTACTTAGCTGATTGATCTCATGTCATATTCAGTACACCAACTGCAAAGTTTTGTAGATGAACCTTTTTTGTAATCATTTGGTCTATTCATCAGTAAGTTTTAGCGATTGACTGCCGATTTTTGTTATTTTTATACCAAGTAAAAAAAATGGTTTGTGCTATTTATTGGTGTTTAGTTGATTTTTTTCTTTGTGTGTATATAAAAAATAAATGGTCTTTATTTTTTAACTAGACATTTTCATTATTTCAATTGTTTTTTTATTTGTGCAGACGGTCTTTTTTTTTTTTTTTTTTTAATTTCAAACTTGTATCCCAATTTGCAGGGGAAGCCATTATCAAGCAAAGTTTTATTTGCCTTAATTTTCTTTACATTTTCACAAATGTGCAAAGTGATAGATGAAATAAACAATGTTTAAAAAACAGGTATCTACTCAAATACAGGTATTCACTAAAAATAATGTTTGAAGTAATGTTATTTTAAACTAATTTCTTTTTACACAGAAATTACATAATTAACAAGATGTTTTTTTTTACTTTTATAGAAGATAAAAATATAAGCAATTTTCTTCCACAACAACACATTGTGTTAAAGGTCAATGACAAAAAGATAATAAAAATGTCTTATTTTCTTATAAATTTGCACATTAACTGTACACAATCTTCCCTAATTTTTTTTCCACAAGCACTTAATAATTAAGAGCAAAGTTCTACTGATAAAAAAGTAACTGAAGACAATCTACAGTGGCACAACCATTTTTCCATAAAGATAAAAATTTGGGTCCCATTTGTATAAAAAAAAAAAAAAAAATAAATAAATAAATAGATAGATAAATAAATAAAGGTATTCATTCAACCAATTTCATGTTTTCTCACCAGTGTGGTAAACCTAAACTTATCTTTATATGTTCATTGTGTTTTCAAAATTTTCCAGTTAATAAGGAGTTAAAATTCCCTAAGAATGTGTTATATTGTAATTAAAAAGCAGCAACAAATATAATACATAATAACAGCAAAATTACTCATAGTGAACAAGTTTGATATGTTAAAGAAAAAAAAAAAAAAAAAAACCTGCAGAGTAAAAAGGATACATCTAAGGAATTTTTTAAGAAGAAGGTTCCGACAATAGCATCTCCATGGCCAGTAAGTGTGTAGATAAATAAGTTTTTAAATCGTTCAATACCATAGACACGCACAGACATGTCTTTTGAGCCAGTACAGATTACTCTGAAATAGAAGAATAATGATGTTATTTCTAATACAGTTCATTCCTACATGTATATAGAGATGATGCACAACAATCCCTGCATTGTTGCAAGCCACACACTGAGTTAATTGTTAAATTGTTCCTAATCAGATCCATTAATGATTGCCAAGATTAGAATAATATTCTTGGCACACAATCAGTAGATAACCACTATCAAATTTAAGGTCTTATTCACAGGCAAGATGTTGCAAAATGTTTAAAGAAAAAAAAAAAAAAAAAAAAAAAAAAAGAGAATCAAATAAACAATGGCCAAGCAGAAAAGTTAAGCTGAAAATGTTTTATTTTTAATAAATATTAAAATTATAAATTCACAACTGTATAAAATAATATTTAAAGCTATATAATATAATTTCTTTCTGAATTCCTATGATGAGGAGTTATTATTTACATTTGGACTACTGTCCTCATCATTGGTTTTAATCCAAATTGCAGCCATTTCAAGTGTTTTTCACTTGAGTAACCTTCTAGGCATTTCGAACTGAACTTTTTATTTAATCTTCTAGGGTACATTAAATACATCTAAGGATATATTAAGGCTATTATCTAATGGGACAATCCAAAACCTTAAAATTGGAGCCTTAAACCTATTCTACCTGCTGCATTCACTGCTAATTTTTTTTTTTTTTTTTTAAATATTTTTTTTTGTTTATTCATTTTTTTTACTGGTGATGAAGCTTTGCAGTCATTTCTCTTTATTTCTTATGGTATTTATTTCTATAGTAGGTCTACTAAGGAGGTTGTTGTAGCTTAGCTTAATCTGAATAATATAATCCCATTTTTATTCTGCTTCATGTAATATAATTGACTTGATAACATCATAACAAGTATTAGAGGTGGTTTATGTCCTTTCTGGCTTCTTCATTTTTGGTTGATATTTTTTAGCTTTCTGTGAAGGTAGAATGAAGGTTCAAATAAAGGATGATGCTTCCTTTAAACAAACAGTTCATTTCAACTGACCACCACCAACTGCACAGAAAAGTGGGGGCTTCAGGACTGAATTATTATAGAAACATTTGGTGGGTGTTGAATAGGAAATGGTTTTATTCACAAACCAACTGGCTAGAATTCAAATGTCAGAGTAGGTATTTAAAGTCTTTCAAATTCCGTATTCATGGTAAAATCCCTAATGCTCAAGGATTTTTTAATTTAAAGAGAGACAGGGGAAAAAATTGACTCATGACTCCTGTAACCCATTAGGGTCATAGAGGGACCACATATACTGCAGCCATAGCAGCAGTGATGTGCCTTGGGCAAGATAGCCTGACGGAGACCAAGCCTCTCCAGGAATGAATTTAGAGTCTTCCTTCTCCTTGATAGGTTGCCAACCATGGCTATAGGGCAGAGTTTGTCTTGTTATTTTATCCATAACTGGGGGGAGAGAGAAGAGATAGATTCATACTTTTACCAAGAGTGCATGTGAATGTAATGAACTTAATTGGAATTTGGACTGAAATTTCTGATATATCCATTAAATCATCCATGCCAGGGGGGATAAAAAAAAAACTACCTTTATCCAATTAAAAACAAAATAATTTGCACAAATATTAAGATCAGAAAAACAAAATTTTTGCAATTGGTTCTATTGATTCTGGAGCTAAATTCAGCATCTGTCAAGCTTTGTTTTACTTCATGGAAAGTTTATTATATTTATACAATGTTTTAAAATTATATCATTTACATGGAAACATATATAGAAAATGGGCACATGCCTGAGTGCTTAGAATGTTAGCCTTCTGACCATTAGATGCAGATTCGAATTTCACCATGGGTGATTGGCCAAGGAAGTGATTTCTTCATAATATAAGCCTAAGGAGATGATTCTAGGTGCAGCACTGTTGGGAACTACCTGAAAACCATGTCACAAGTTGACCTAATCCCTGTGAGTAAAATTAGGTAGGCAGAACTGTTCTGAAGCTATTGATGGTTGTGCTAGCATGAAGTCACAAGACACCATGACCCAGGGTTGGAGTATACTGGCCTTATTTAAACTGTGGATCATACCAGATTACATGCTCTCTCCCAAAGACTGTAAATAAGGTCTGCTTAGCATAGTTGCAGTATAAACCACAGGTGGGTGATGAGGGTGTAAAACAAAAACAAATATTCCTGAGCAGGTGTCTGCAACAGAGATTAGTTATCTACCCTAACTGACAGTCATATTTGGAAACTGAATTTTTCTCAATTACGAACCAGCGTGATCAACTTGGTAGGAACCTTTTTTCAGGACTATAAAATAAGCTCCAAGAAGAGTAAACAAATTATACAAGCTCCTCTACCCATGGAACTATAAAGATTTTTTTCACTACTAGCATATAGATGGTTGATAGAAAAAGCATCTTTTAAAATCCTTAGAGATAGATTTAGTGCTTGAAATTTTATGTCAATAAAAGTAATCACCTTTTCTTTCTTTTTTATTATTATTATTATTAATCATTTCATCCCAAGCAAAGCAGGAATGCCACTAGTGTACAGAAGGTTACAGAGAGTGATGGTGAGAGAAAACACTGGGTGTGTGTGTGGGGGGGGTTGAGGAAAGAATAAAAGATGAACGGGATTCAAGAAAATAGCAATTGACGTTGCATTTAAATTTTTGAAGATTGCAATTTTCAGGGAAGCAAGTAAACAAAAGGGAGTTCCACAGGTGAAAAGTGTGATAAAAGAAACTGTTGAAGTCGAATTGGTAGTTACATTTAACTATTTCAACAGTAAAATGAGTGAGACCTAGATGGTAATCTAGTAGCACACTTAAATTCACATAGTTGAGGCATCAAGGAAAAAAAAAACTCATCAGAGCATCATGAGAAAAGACAAACGTAGCAATGCCATTGTCCCAAATGTCACCTCCCTTCCCAGATTGAATTAAATGAGTCCATGAATATTCCAAATATACTGGAAACAGGATTTGTATTTTCATTTCTCACTATGGCATTATTTCACCTTTCATTCCTTTGTTAACATATAACAGGTCTTTTCCTATTTTTGTGTACACCTACACAAACTAGAAAATATTTGTAGAAAAGACAGAGGAAAGCCATTGGTAAGAAAGTGACTAAAGTCAAGACCGATTATATTGCAGATCCTTCTTTAGATTTTGTCAAGAACCTAGAGATGAATAGCAAGAGCACCAGACCAGATATGGCAACAGTATTCAATGCACGGATGAATGTTAGATTTGTAAATGTACAAGATGGACTCTGATGAGAAAAACCTTTTTGTATAACACAGTGACCCAACTTTCCTTCAAGTAGGATGCAGCTATTGATTTGATGTAGTCATTCCACTTCAAGTCAGTTGAAAATGTGAGGCCAAGAAGGTGCAGTGCGATGCTCTCCAGGATTCTAGCATCAGCTATGCTGATGGCAGACAGGAAAGTTTCTCCATATTGGTTAAATGAGAGCAGTTTCATTTTGGAGGCATTAGAATTTACAAGCCATTTCCTGCTGCAGTTAACCACTGATTGGAGGTCCTTTTCAAGAGTAGAGACCAGGTTAACTGTCAGTTCTGATGGATTTGCTATTGAGACAGGAGTAAATGGTAGTGTCATCTGCATAAATGCCTACTTGGGAACTAAAGACATCAGAAAGATCATTGAAGATCAGAAACAGTGTAGGAGCCAGGATAGAACATTGGGTGTCATCTGCATTCGTGTGAAAGGGTCTGGAAGTGAGCCCATTCAAAACGACCTGCATTTCAAATTTTGATACGAGCGATTGGATTAAATCAAATAACCGTCCTGTAATTGCATAGCCTTGAGTCATGTAGAAGGCCAGCATGCCAAAAACTGGCAAACACCTTCAAGATATCTAGAGACACAGCTTGAGCTTCACCATTATTACCAAGAGCTTGATATACATATTCAGTGATGGCCATTAGCACATCAGTGATAGACCTGGCAAAATGGAAACCATATTGTTTGTCAGTAGTTTGTAGGAGGTAAGATGCTTAACCACTTCGGCATTGATTAAAGCCTCAAGTACTTTGCCAAAAAGTGGTAGGAGACTAATAGGGAGATAGAAGTGTCAGACAGTTCTTAAAAACAAGGACTACAGAGGGGGAATTCTAACAAGCTGGAAAGCAGTAAGCAGTGAGGAAATGGCTGCAGAGTTTGGAAAGAACTGGAGCCAGCTTGAGAGCACATTCCTTTAGTGTTATACCGGAACATTACCTATTCTATTGTAATAGACTCTCCCACACATAATAAGTAGTAGTAGTAGTAGCGGTCGCCAGTTGGGATCAGTGGAGTTGAGTGAGTGAGTCAATGTCGGACATTGAAGTATCAATGACCACAACTAGATTGCTGCGTCATTAACTATTATTGCAAGTTCCTAACGTTTTGTACGTCGGACCTTTTTAGGACCGACTTAGTGAAATACAAGCCTACACTGTGAAAACTACTCTACAACATTTAGGATGACAGCTGGGATCCCAACACCTCTGCTTACCTGATGGGAGTCTAATTTATAAATGATGTCTGAGACCAGTGACAGGATTATGCACATATCCATCAGTGGAGCCTCTGTTCTAGGGGGAAATCCGATGTTGGTACTCCAAATGAGTCTAGTGTTGAGTTGGAAGAGAATTTCTAAACAAAGCATTCAACCTTACCTGCTGTAGATGTCAGGACTTTGAATTGATTGAATAGGAGGGATTGAGGATTTGCTGTTGTTCAGCACACTCTTGCAGAGCCGCCAATAATCTTTAGAACCAAATTTGCGAGATGCTATACGTTGTTTCATTCTATCAGCAAATAGTAACTTTGCTTCTTTAAAGACATGAGTGCAAGTTAACACTATTGTATCAAGTAATGATTCAGTAGTGTTAACATTTTTCAAATTAACACATTTCATTTTTTTAATCATTTCACTCCAAGCATGGCAATATAGCAACTAAGACGCAGGCAGTATTGAGTGTGAAAGAGGAAAAGAAAAACGAGAGAGAGAGAAAAATAAAAGAACAAGAATTAAAAAGACAGAAGATAATGATTGATTTAAATATTTGAAACTAAAAGTTGAGTGGAAGCAAGAGCCTGGAAGAGAGTTCCTTCAGTGAAAAATGCAAAAGAAACTTAGCATAAAACATATGGTTACATCTAACCATTTCAACTGTAAAATGAGGAGACCTCACTATCAATCTGCGGAACTTTCTGGAAGTAAAGTCAAGAAAAAGAAGAAAAAGGACTATCTTTTATACTTTACCTAGAGTCTGTTGACCAGTCAATACAAACATTGTCTTCATAGGCTCCATAGAACATTCTCAGCAGTTGAAAGGGGTTAAAGTTTATGTTTTTCCCAGGAGCATAAAACACCAAAATTTTATCCTCTTTTGTAACAGCAAATTTTCTGCAGAAATAAGGAAACAAAAATTTAAGAATCTTAACCTTAACAAAAGAAATTCTTTTAAAAGAAAAAAATTTTTTTAAAGTAACATTTTGTAGATAATGGTAAAGAATACTTACGTTCCATCTGGGCTGAATTTGATGCAATGGATTCTACTGTGGAAATGGTAACGATGGAGTACTGTCCGACTGATAAGGCTGCACAAAAGAGCTTCTCCCTCTTAAACAGTGGGAAGAAAAATAAATAAATAAATAAAACTAATCAATGTAGGTAAAAAAAAAAAAAAAAAAAAAAATATAGCAAAGAAATGAAAAAATTATAAGGTTGTCACACATGAAATGACAAACTTTATAGGCAATGAATAAAATACTTCTGAAATGTTAAACTAATTTATTTAGTTGAAATAGGCACTATGTTGAGGTATGACTATGCACCAACGTACCTCTTTAAAAAAATTCTCATCCTTTGATGTGATAAACAGTTCAAATGCTCCAATTACCTCTTCCATATTGGAGAATGTTTTATTGCATATGAAAAGATCAAAATGCTTAAATAAGGGGTAATCAGTAGAAGAGATATGGAGGGTGAGGCAAAATTTCATAATTCAGGTTATGCAGTTTTTGAACAGTTGACGGAGAAGCATTCAGCCATGTAGCAAAATTGGGCCATCTAGTCTAGGATGTTTCTTTTTCAATTTTTCGTGCATGCTCTCAATTTCTCTACAATATGTGGTTGCTATTATTGTTTTCCCTTGAGGAAGGAATGAATAATAAATAACCCTTTTGAAAGGCCACCGTATAGTAACCATTATATTTTTTAGGGTACAGTAGAGGTTTTAGGTATTGTTTTGGTGATTCACTTGCAGCTAACCACTGGCCTACTCTCCTACTGTTGTCAAAGAGTATCCATTTCTCATCGCATGTAATGAGTTGATGCAAAAATGGTTCTTTTTACCAGTTTGTACTTGTACAGTAAGATTACTCAACATTGTTTCATTGTAATCATTTTCATTGGGCTTATGTGTAACAATATATTGAAATAAAAGGAGTCAAGAATAAGTCAAGATTTTTTATATACTTAGGAGGTTACTTTGTTAGATGACCAGATCAACAACTAAACAAAAAAAAAAATGTATTATTTCATGTGTGACAACCTAATATCTATTCATTACACAATTGTTTTCATGTTTATGTTAGGATAGGTTTAGATTTCAAAAAAGTCCACGGTCATAATTCCAAGAGTCGAAAATCAGTCTTACAAGTCCAATGTCAGAAAATACTGGAGCCATAAAATCAAAAGGGTAAAAAATTCACATCATAATGCACAACCACCTTTTCACCCATAAAGAGCTAAAAACAATCCTATGGTCCAAAGTAGGGTCCTTTTATTGAAATAAGAAAGGATATGATTGGTTGAGACTGATAGGGAAGTGTAAACAATTACTATTTATTTTGAGAACTACGAAAATTGACCTGACCTTGATTTGGACTTTCTTTTTCAACAGACAACACAAAGGACAGATTCTTTTCCAAAACTTTTCTTTTTCTTTCGGTGCCATATTGTTTGAGGGCAATTTAACTTGATATAATGTTCCTTCTTGATATGTGAGAATATCATGGAAACTGATAGAATTCAAAATAATTTTAAGAGGTCAATAGTAAAATGATACAGATTGCTTTACTTGTATATAAACTAACAACCAGGAGATTTAAACTCCACATATTTGACAACAATCCAAATGTACCTCATTTTTCTTCTGCTTTCTGTGATAACAAGTATTGACATATGTTTTTGCAAGTTATTTGTTCTATTTTATATGAATATTTTGCTGTGTGATTTTCCCATTAACAATTGCTCTATTCAATAAGCACTTTTATTCTTCTATAGATTTTCCAATTATCTATATCTATTTTTTCCCTTATATCTTGGCATGTGTGCTTATAGATAGTTACAACATTGAATATAGAAATTAGGACAAATGTTGAGAGGCTAAAATAAATGGTTTCTCTAGGTATGCATGTGTATTACATATATGTAAGCATTTCCATAAAAACAAACAAATGCCTCTCTTGTATGTGTGTGTGTGTGTGTGTATATATATATATATATATATATATATACACACATATATATATATATATATATATATATATATATATATATATATATATTTATTTATTTATGTAAAACATCAATGTGGACAGGAATGTTCTTTTTAAATGTTGTGCAATAGATCTTGAATCCGACATGTATAAAGTAAGCCTTCTTGATAGTGTCATCATCATGAAACCAACACACACACATATATATATTACACACACACACATTCATATTTTTTTTCAGAGATACAATCTCCCAAAGGACATTTAAATTGATATACAATGATAATCCTTTGTTGACAGAGAAGAGTTATTGCAGATGATTTGGTTGTATTAAATTTAGTATATTATTTTTTTAAGTTGGATAAGTGGGAGATATATTATTTGATTGTGGTATAATAGGTTGATATATTTGGTGTTATTTGAGGAAGTTTTGTGCTCTTTTTTGTTTCTGTTTATATTTCTAATAGCTTGTCTAATTTGTTCATCAAAGATTTAATAGTCATTATTAATGAGTGTGTCTAATGTTTTTTAATTCTGTGAAAAAAATTTTTTTTTAATGGAAGAATTAAATTTTGCATGGTTTATTAAATTTTGTATAATTCCTGTTTTGAATAGTCAGGAAAAGGAATCCCTCATTATCAGCCTCTCTATAAAAAGCAGCAGATTCTTCATAAATCCCTTTAAATTAAAACTGTACCATTAATCTTCTTTGGGAATGCTAAACCCATTTTTTTCTTAAGTCTACTATAGTGGCTGACAGGTCAAGTCTTTAAAGACCTCAATCCTACTTAAATACAAGGGCATCTGTGATTCTGGTCAACCAGTCATTGGATGCCCAGATGCTGCTACACTACTTTCCAAAGCTCTGGTTCAAAACATTCAATGAATTATACTTCATAAATTATCAAAAACAAATTGACTGTCCATAAAATGGACAAATTTTTAAGCAAGTAATGAATCAGTGATGAATGTTATTCTAATAATGAAACTAATTCAAGTGCAATAAAGTGTCCAGCCAAGAAAAATAAGATTATTAGTTCTTGATTATGGTTTCACTTGGACTGGAGACGAAAGTCACTATACAATGTAATGTCTTAAAAAAAAGTGTTTATTTCAGGAGACTTTTTTTTTTATTATTATTTTCCTATTTCAAACTTCATGCTAATTTTTCCTTGTTAAAATTTAAAGTGTGCCCCCGAGTTTTAGTTATTCTATAAGTGTACCCTGAAGTAAAAAAAAGGGTTAAGAAACACTGCAGTAGAGGCTGAAACTTCCCAACAATAACCCATAATTTATTGTTGCCTTGTTGCAGATAGCAACTGGTAGTCTAGCAAAATGACATACAAAGCAGTTTCATTAGAGAGTTCTTTCTGAGGATAAAATTGCTCTCAGACATTCATTGACAAAAATAGGAAGAAAGACCAAACAATGGATGCAAGCCCAGTTAAGTAGTGGGTAATGCATTTCAGCTTCAGTGATGTCAATGTGCTCAATAAGCTGCATTTATGAGCATAGAATGTTGGCTCTTGTTTACCACTGACATAAATAGTGGCGTTTGTGGAAAATAGTATTTTGTAATTGAAAAATTACTATATTGAATGGCATTATTACAATGTCTAGTTTCTTTGGAAATAAACTACTCATACAATTATAATTTCAGTCTTTCATTCATTCATTCATTGCTAGAATTTGTCATGTTGCTATACACATAAGTAAATGAAAAATTTTAAATATTTGTTTAATAAATCTTTATCACATCACAGATTATATTAAGAGTAATTTAAAAGGAAAAAAATTCTGTTCAGGAGTCAATTATTAGTTAATTTAAGAGTTTTTATTTTAATAAATTCAATGTAGAATGATTTAATACATTTAATACTAACCTTCATTAACTACAATCAAAGTGTAGCCATTTGGAGAGACAGCAATTGTTGTAATATTTAAACTGCTTTCAAAGGGTAAGGTTTCGGATTTGTTGCTGAAAAGGAACAAGAAAATTATAAGAATTGGGGGAACAATATAAAATTTAAAAACAGCCCAAAAGAGGAGGAGAAAAGAAAAAGAAGAAAAGCCCAAAAGAGGAGAAAAAAAACCCCAGCAAACTGTAGTAGATAAAGAATTCAGTAAATAAATAAATATTGATTGACATTGATAATATGAAGTGAAAAAAATTATCAGTTATTTTAAAAAGAAAAATAAATCTATTGTTTCAGTCAGATAGCTAAAAAGAGGGAAGAATGGAATATAAAGAATAAGCAAAAATGACAAATTTTATTGTTAAAAAATATGACAAGTAGAAATAGAAGATATGCTGCAATATCATATATCAATTGATATTTAATTCCCTGTTAACTCACCTTTTCAAATCAAATACTGTAATCCTATTCCCTACAGGGCTGATCACACTGCCACCATCAGGAGTGAAGGCAAGGTTACCACGACGATACACAGACCCAAGCAAGTTGGAAAACTGACAAACATAATAGAAATTAGGGAAAAATCAATTTTCAGTTGATAATTAAAATAATTGTCTTATTATAAACATCCATTTTTATTTTAAAGATCAGATTTGATTGGTATTTTAAACCTTTTACATTTTTAATTCAAAACTGCCTTAACAAAAAAAAAAAAAAAGGAGATATTTTTAGCTTACCAGGTGAAATACAATGATTTCTTATAATTTAAGAGTATAACAACAAGTTGTATATTCCCCAGACAACTTATTTTCAAAGTAGGAAAAAGAAAAAAAAATAATGTTCTCAACTGTATTGATTATGTAGTTGACTTCAGTTTCAGTTATTTAAGCTTTGTGAGACAAGACAAAAAAAAAAAAAAAAAAAAAAAAAAAAAAAAGAAAAGTAAATTAATTATTAATATCTATTCAGCTATTGTTTACAGGTGATACAGGAGCAAGAAAATCTATCTGAAAAGTAATGCACAATTGTTGAATACACAGATGTGCAATACAACATTGTGGGCAAGTGTTCAAGAGGTTAGAATGTTAGCAGTTCTGACCATGAGACCCGGTCTTGAATCTCACTATATGTGATTTGTCAAGGAAGTGATTTCTTTATAATATCAGTCTAGGGAGATGATTCCAGTGTGAGGCACCATTGTCTAGAATTGTCTAGAAACCATGGCATGGGTTGTCCCATGCTGTGTGAGTGAGAAATCGAGTAGATGGAACTTTTTTTTTTTAGAAGTTGTTGATACTTGTGCTAAGTACAAAGTTACAAATCATTGTGACAGATTTTGAGTGAACTGGACTTGTTCAAATTTTTTGATCACACTGATTATCTATGCTCACTCAGAAATTGTAATGCAGGTCTGCTCAGCATAGTTGCAGTATAAACTATAGGTGGGCTCAGTGTGTGTTGAAGAAACACAAATGTGCCCGAGCTGGAATCTACAACAACCACCCTAGCAGACAGGTACACTTGGATATGAGCAATCAGCCATAGCGACTTACATTCATGTTGATACTATAAAATCAAGAATTTGACATTTCATGCAGCACAGCAATATATTTCCGTATGTTAATGTATAATAGTGAGCCTAGCAAACTTGGTCAGTGTTGGCTTCTAATTATTTGTTCTAACTTGTTAATGCTATCCAGTACCTGTCGCTTTGCTGACAAGCTGGTCAAATTTCCAATCAAAATTGTTTGTCTATTTTACTGCATTTACTAGAAAATATATTGTTTAAATAATCATAAAAATCACTTCAAAAGGTTGGCTTATACACTTCATGTTACTCAGAGGTTGTTGCCAGGTAAGAAAGAGAAATTAGCCTTTGTCATAGTTATCCATTTTAGTTTCATTCCAATTGTGCACATGTGTATGTATATTTTAATTCAATGACAGACCTAAAAATACTTTTTATAAAAAAAAAAAAAAAAAGGCTTAAAAATAATTGTACTCATTGAATAATTTCCAAAAAGTTTATTTTCTGAATGTAAGGGTTATAAAAAAAAAAAAAAAAATCCTTTTTACTTGTATCCAAGTTTATGATTTTATTGCTCAGCTCAAAGTAAAGGTTGTCCAGACGAAGTAGGAAGGAGATGTGTTAATATCTTATTTCAAACTCAGAAAAAGTGTGTGTATATCTGTGCATCCATTAAATGTCAAACATATGTAAGTCACTCATGCACATATATATATATATATATATATATGACATGCACACATGCAAAGTGATGGACAAAGGATAAAATCTTTTACAATATAAATTTTGATGCAAATTTGTATCATTAGGACATAATATACTGAAGATAATGTGAATCAACATAAAAATAATTTTCCTTATATTGCTAAAATATCTTTTTTTTGAGTTACTTTTATTTTTCAAGTCTTCAATTATCAGATTTGTCTCTTTTCTGTTTTTGTAGATGGATATATTTACATACAGCTGTGCATAAGAGCTGGCTTTGTGAGAAAATTTGATACATTAAACATGTAATTATGTAAGCAACTCTTTGAAGCATAGCTATAATTAATATTTCATTACAAGAAAAAAAGAACAAAAAACATGCCAGCTACTTTTGTCCTTTGTTTTAAAATTGTTCTATTTGTATAGTTTTTGTAAAAATACCATACATTTTCTCCATTTTTACCCTTGCATCAAACTTTCTCAACAAAATCAAATTTTTAATTTTCTCCATTTGAGCTACTCTTGCAAAGCAATTAAATAAGTACTCACAAATTTTGAAGCAGAAAAAAAAAGTTTTATTAACAAGGTGATTTAGTACACATCTGGATGAAGTTCACAAGTGCTGGCAGAAGTAGGGATGATGATGGCAATTTAAACAGCTATTATGAGCTTAACTAATCTCTCAAGTTATGTTAAACCATCTTCCTATATATGCTGATTGTAAAAGCAATACGATGAAAATACATTTGATACATTCCTGAAAATCTACAGACAGCAACAGTATTAAGAAACTGTCTATAAAAATTAAATATTTCAACAGGATTTTATAATTTTTGTCTGAATTTCTGGGATAAGTAGTTATGATTATTTACACCATTTATATTCAGACTATTGTCCTCGTCTTTGTTATCACAACCTTTCGGCCATTGTGCCATACAGCCTTCTTCAGGTGTATATCAATCAGGCAATTGTATAACTGAACACTTTCATCTACAGGGGTAGACTTTTCTCATTCCACTGTTCATGTCTAGGGATATAGTGTAATTTTTATTTTTATTTAATACAGTTCAGTTATTGTTGATCCATTTCCACCGAGTTCACACTACCCGATTCAGGGATTGTGAATTTAGTGACATAGTGGTTGTGTGTTCAATCTTTGGATTGGGCAGTATGGACTTGCCCTCAGTGGAAACAGGGGAGCAATAACTAAACCGTAATAAATAAAAATAAAAACTAGACGATATCCTTAGACACAAGCAGTGGAATGAGAAGTCTATCCCTAGGTGAAAGGGCACAAAAGTCAAAATGTAGTAATAACAAATATGAGGACAATAGTCCGAATATAGTGTAAATAAGGATGTGGAGTGAGTAGCCTTGGTTAAATGCAAAATAACTGATATAATTGTCCAACAGAACTGACAAAGTTTGCAATAAGCAATAACAAGGAAAAGAAAACAAACAGCACAAAAAATACAAATAATATAAACCAAGCAAACAATATATGCAAGGCAAATTAATAGTAATAAGGTAAAGCAACAGTAATATGGCAAAAAGTTCACAAGTATTGGGGTTGACATAAAAGCAAATTTGGACAAGTGAATGTAGTGTTCTGAATTCAAGATAAGACAAACTGGACCTGTGTCAGATGAAACCAAGAACCGGCCTATTTTATTGGCTAGGAAAAAATCCCAGCATGCATTTGTGTTCTTCTCCCTATAAATTGGGGAGGGGAAAGTATTTTATAGTCATTCCTAGTCAAAATTGGAACCAACAAAGGATTTTATAAGTATTAAAATGTAAAGGAATAAGTGCCCTAACAATGTTTCAGAATGACATAAGAAAGCTTCCAGTTTTATTGTAGAAATGTAAAGGACCAGCTGAAATGTGACTAATACCTTAGATAGGTAGGCATATACTACAGTATTAATATAGAAATCTATAATGGGGCAACCTTCTTAGTTGTTCACCAACAGGGCAAATCAATCCTCAGATTACATTTGCTTCTTATTTGGTTTGGGATGTTCACAAAAAACAGAAGATAAAATCAATGCCACAGCAAGAAATGAAAACCCAGTTTTCAATAATTTGATATTTAGTTCACCAGGGTTGCAAATGGGACCTAGTATTCTCTCTGGTAATAGGTAGGTAGCACATAGATCCCTTTGTCTCTTCTTACTTCAGCCTAGTAACTGCTAGTAATGTAACTGGTTGACCAGACAGCTACTCTCTTTCTCTAACTCACTCTACATATGAGGCTGCAGTGGGAAACTTCCAACCAAGTATCCCTTAACCTCAAACATATTTTTTTTTCTTTCCTTATGGTTGGAAGTTAAAGTCTATGTTGCCACTTTGAACATCAGACTTCATAGACTATCTTTCAACAAAAACAAACAAAAACGAACAAACAAAAACAGACAAACAAAAACAGACAGACAAACAGACAAACAAACAAACAGACAAACAAAAACAGACAGACAAACAAACAGACAAACAAAAACAGACAGACAAACAAACAGACAAACAAAAACAGACAGACAAACAAACAAACAAAAACAGACAGACAAACAAACAAACAAAAACAGACAAACAAACAAACAAAAACAGACAAACAAACAAACAAAAACAGACAACCAACAAACAAACAAAAACAGACAACAAACAAACAAACAAAAACAGACAACAAACAAACAAACAAAAACAGACAAACAAACAAACAAAAACAGACAACAAACAAACAAACAAAAACAGACAACAAACAAACAAACAAAAACAGACAACAAACAAACAAACAAAAACAGACAACAAACAAACAAACAAAAACAGACAACAAACAAACAAACAAACAAAAACAGACAACAAACAAACAAACAAACAAAAACAGACAACAAACAAACAAACAAAAACAGACAAAAAAAGACAAAACAAAAACCAGACACTTCAGAAGTGTTCACTTAACTGTATGTATTCAGCCATTTATATGGGAGGATCTACTGTGTCACAAATACAGAGATTCTATCTATAAATTCCAATGTAATTAATTCTGTATATAGAACAGAGTCAAGAATCTTAACTATTGTGTTTAAGTTTTAAGTGCATTTGGACTCATATTTACAATAATCTACTCTCCAAAATATAAATGTCTACAAAAATACAGTAGGTAAATTTTTAAATAAAAAGTTGCAACAGTATTAATTCCTATTTCAGAGTGAAAAAGGAGGTAAATTAATCTGGAGGAATATGACTGAATGGAATGTTATATCAACCAACCATTACTTTTCAATGTGACAAGCAAGATGAGAAAAAAAAAGTCGTGAGAAACAAGTAGTGAAGGTTATAGTGGTGTTAGATTGGAAAAAGAGAGAATTCTGTGATACAGCTTTTTTTTTTTTTTTTTTTTTTTAATATCTTGTCCCAAAATATCCAACATTATAAGTTGAAATTTAATGAAGGTATGTTAAATTTTACAAGTATCAAATAGTTATTAGGAGAGAGGGAAGACAAAAAAGATTTCTTTGCTTAGTTTATATATAAGAGAGAGGAGAAATATTATAGTCCAGTCTAGCTTATATGGAGCCTTAATCTTATTATCCTTTAGTTTTCTCTACAACAGCTGAAATTGAATTCTGAAAATCAATAATACAAGTCTTATTTACAGTAACACTCATAAGCTTGTACATCCTTAAATGTTTTTTGTTTTTTTTATATAAAATTTCCTTCTAAGCCAAGTACAACATGATTTTTATTATTTTCTAGTAGAACATTAAATAAAACATACTATCAGGCATTACTTATTACCAAACTTTACAGTATTGAAAGTCTTTTGACAATAATGAGAAGTTTGCTATCCAGAAATGAGTAAATCACTATGAAAAAAATTTATTTAAAAAAAAAAAAAAAAAAATTGTATGTTGGTCTTTATTTTCTATTAAAGCTTGTAGTCTTCTTGGTAACTAACATAAAAAGACTTGCAGAGTCACTGGTGAATTTTCCCCCACTCCATCAATATACAACTTTCAAATGTTGGTTGTTATTTTTCTACATCCCATTTCAGTACAATCCACAAATGCTTAAATGGATATACATCCAGCAACATTAGGCCAACTGAAAGCACTTTTGCATTTGCTTCACCAGAAACGTTGTTCATTTCTTAAACAGAGTGGGTCATTATGTTGAAAACACAGCTTCTTTTCACTCATTTGAATGAAAGCAAGAGGTTTTGTTTTTAATATAATTCAGTAACCTTCTGCAATCATTGTTCTAACAATGAAATCAGTTCAACTATCAGGCTTTATAAGGAAACTCAAAACAGAGCAACATATTGGCAAG